TCTCGAGGAGTTCTATAGTTCCAGATAGGTTTTAACAACAGTTCTGCTACGTAACATCGTTAAAATACCTATTAAGGATACTAGTCGCACCATATGCTTCAGTGCAGGTATGCATAAGAAGCTGGCTTTCAGTTTTGTTTTCATGTTGTGTTTCGAACAGTTCCGGAATAATTCTCTTTAGTACTCAATGTTGGGACCATAGTTCCGCTTGGAACTATTGTTAAATAATGATGGAAGCTAGCACCGCATCGCTGCACTCCTTAACACAGGCAGACATAAGGTGCTGGCTTTTGCCTTAGTAAATCTTATCGAGCTTACACTGTACATTTGAATTTAAGATTACAAAAAAAAAGATTTAGGCAATATCTGATAAGCGGCTTCTTTTTAAGGGTTGCTCTGGGAATCAGTTGTAAGTTGTGGAGAATCTCTGGTCCAGCCGATATTGCAGGCAGCGAAAACGAATGGATTGCTCGGTGGTGGGGAAAAAGTTGCCGCCCCTCACAAACCGTTCTGGACAAACAGGCGGGGCAGCAAGGTCTTCCATCCAACCGAACCATAAACATTTGTATGGACGTAATGCGCAAACAAATGTGTATATTTAAATAAATTTCAAAGTTATAAAAAATGCATAGAAATATTGGTTTTCACTCTTTATCTCTTATCATGCCGAAAATGAACATTAAAAAATGAATGGCGAAATTCGTTGGTAAATGAAACGACCGAGAACAGTTCAAAGAGAAATTTTGAAATATCATAGATAAATATCTATAGAAAATTTGCGTTGTGCATCTCCCCACTCATCTCTGGAAAAAGTTATTCGGTTTACCGACTATGTTCAGGATAGTTCATGATTATGATTATGTTTAGAGATGTTTTCCCGCGCTAAATAACGCAACAAGAGACAGTTGCAGAAGTCTGGTTGTCTGCGTTACTCTGTGTCATCCGTTTAAGTATTTTGAAGTTTTTGTGTGAATTCAGTGCCTTGTACAACTAAGAGAACGTGAAATTTAATAAAAATGGAGGTGGTTGAGGTAGATCAAAGAATAAAGGATCTCGAAAGGGAATATGTAGACTTCTTGGACGATGAGGTGAATGATTTGAGGTTTTCGAATGACCGGCATTTACAGCGTGCCGTAGTCATTCATGGTGTTTAGAATAGTTTCTAAAACTTTTTCATTATTCCAGGAGGACCAAGGGATTTATGCGAATTTAGTAAAAAATATGATCGAGGAAAAGAAATATCGCCTTTTTGTAAATATCAATGATCTTAGGAGGAAAAATTCGGAACGCGCTGCAAGGTAATCTTTACTACGTAGTAAAGGCACAATGTTGTTGAATGAAACAAATTAATTTAATACTTTAATATATGTAAAATAACATATCTCTTATGTGATTTAGCTTGTTGAATAATGCCTTCGAAGAACAAGTAGCATTTCATGGTGCTCTGAAACAGTTTGTTATGAGCATTGATACAGATTATGCCAAAGGCAATACTGAATTCTTTGTTGGCTTTGAAGGAAGTTTCGGCAATAAGCATGTTACACCAAGAACGTTGACTTCAAGATTTTTAGGCAGTTTGGTTTGCGTTGAAGGCATTGTTACAAGATGTATGCTAATTTATTGTTATTACCACTTTTAGCTTTTACAATAAACTATTAATATTAAAAAATATGTATTCACTTCAGGTTCTTTGGTAAGACCAAAAGTTGTCAGAAGCGTTCATTATTGCAGTGCAACAAAAACTATAATGGAGAGGGCTTATACAGATTTAACATCCTTTGATGCATTTCCAAGTTCTGCTATATACCCCACTACGGTAATACTTTGTATCAATATGATTATTGTGACTATGTGAATTGCGCTATATAAATTTTCATTAAAACTTTTATTACCTACAGGATGATGATGGAAATCCATTGGAAACAGAATTTGGCCTTTCCACATACAAAGATCATCAAACATTAACCATTCAAGAAATGCCTGAAAAAGCACCAACAGGTCAATTACCACGTAGTGTAGATATTATTTGTGATAACGACTTAGTAGATTTATGCAAGCCTGGAGACAGGGTTCAGATTGTTGGCAATTACCGATGTTTACCAGGGAAGCAAGGCGGCTACACCACTGGAACATTCAGGTTCTTATAAGGATGAATTAACTCAATAAATTTGTATCCTTGCCTAAGATTTCGTTAAAAAAAAAGGTTTCTTCACTTTGCAGAACAATACTGATAGCGAACAATATAACCCAATTGAATAAAGAGGCAAATTTGGTAATTTCTCATGATGATGTAGCAATGTGTAAAAAATTGGCGAAAATCAATCCGTGTCAGAATATTTTTGAACTTCTGAGTAAATCATTAGCACCATCGATTTACGGACACGAGTATATAAAAAAAGCCATCCTTTGTTTGCTGCTTGGGGGTGTCGAAAAAATCCTACCGAATGGAACTAGACTTCGAGGGTAACAATAGACACATAAATATTCTCAAAGTCAAAATTCTAAGACCCGATTGAAAAGTTGCATTATAATAAACAGAGATATAAACGTGCTACTCATTGGAGATCCTTCAGTGGCGAAATCGCAGTTGTTGCGTTACGTTCTGTGCACTGCACCGCGTGCTATACCCACTACTGGCAGAGGATCCTCAGGAGTTGGTTTAACCGCGGCTGTAACAGTCGACCAGGAAACAGGCGAGAGACGATTGGAAGCCGGCGCCATGGTTCTAGCGGATCGTGGTGTTATATGCATCGACGAGTTTGATAAAATGTCAGATATAGACAGAACAGCTATTCACGAAGTGATGGAACAAGGGCGAGTGACTATTGCTAAAGCTGGGATACATGCAAGTCTTAACGCACGATGCTCTGTATTGGCCGCAGCTAATCCTGTCTACGGAAGGGTATCAATTTTGGCTACTAGCGTTTTATACATCTAAGAAGAAAAAAACACTGAGCCGGCAATCGAAAAAATATTGACGAATTTTTCTTGATGTTTCAGTATGACCAGTACAAAACTCCTATGGAAAATATTGGACTTCAAGATTCCTTACTTTCGCGATTTGATTTACTATTTGTTATGCTGGATATGGTTGATTCTGATCAGGACCACATAATCAGCGATCACGTAGTGCGGATGCATAGATATCGAAGTGCTACAGAACAAGATGGTCAAGCTTTGCCCATCTATAGCAATGTGGACATGTTGACCACAAAAAATCCGGATAGCGTCGAGGCTGAGGAATCGGAGACCACAGTCTTCGAAAAATACGATCCACTGTTACATGGGAAATCGCGTGCTAAAAAGTATTGCATCATTATTATCATTCTTAGTCATTGTTAAACGTGCAGTTGTTGTATCATAGATTTAATACGAAGACATTATTTTTTCAAGGGATCAAATTCTCAGTATCAAATTCATGCGGAAATATATTCATATTGCTCGTTGCATGAAACCAAAACTAACAGAAGAAGCTAGTACTACCATTGCAGACGAATATTCTAAACTGCGTTCAGAAGAAACCGTAGAGTCCGATTTGGCCAGGGTTCGTTAAATCACTGTTCATCAGCAAAACTTTCTCACGTACATTATTATTGTCAGCAAAACGTCCTAATGGGTTTTATTTTAGACTCAACCAGTCACTGCACGTACGTTGGAAACGCTCATTCGTTTGTCAACGGCTCATGCGAAGGCCAGACTATCAAAAAATGTAACTATCGATGACGCACTTGCAGCCATTGAACTAGTGCAATTTGCATACTTCAAGCGCGTCCTAGAAAAAGAGAAGAAGAAACGTCGTCGTCGTGACAGTGCCGTTTCGCACGACGAAGACGATGATGACGATGATCAAAGAAAAAAGAAACGTACCAGGAAAGGCAGAAGCACTGACGGTACTCAAGATCCATACAATTTCGAGAGTGACGATGATTCTCACGTGGACGACGCCGTCAGGAGAATCACGAGATCGCAAAGTGAAAAGCAAGCATCAACACCATTGAACGATACGGCTTCCGGTCCCAGTTCCGAGACCATGGTTGTCGAAGAAACCGAATCAGCCACTATTACTGATGAAAGGTACGTAGATGATTAATTCCGTATCTAGATTAAGTTGTCGAATTGCCTTTCTCCTTTATGTAAATTTTTTTGTGCAGATTTAAATTATTCCGGACAAGTTTGCACAAGTTGTTCCAACAACAGCGAACCCAGACATTACCCATGTCGAGAGTTCATGAATACATAAGCAATCAGCACACACCAGAATTTACACTCGGTGAGGTGACAGCTGCTGTCAACAAGATGACAGACGCGAATCAGCTGATGCTCGCAGATGACAATGTCTTCCTCATTTAACGATACACATGAGAGCGACACTGACGCCAATTAAGAATAAGAATTATTTTTTACCGAAGAACCGCCATATTATTATTCTTAAATTTACCCAGTGCCAGTCGTTAACAATAATTGTCAACATATGAGATTGTCGTCGACTATGTATAAAATATATTTTTTCATTTTTTTTCAGAAAAGTTCTCTTAAAAACCTCTTCAAAAACTTCTTCCTATCTTCATGTCAAAGGTGAATCATACTCGTTCTAGTCATTTTATATATAATAACATGTATTAGCTCTATACATTATAATACAACACATTGGCACATAAACTAGGCAACAATGATCAACATTTATCACGATAACGTAAACGTAATATAGTTTACATCTCTACTGCTTTCCTTCCTGCTTTCATGTAAATATATATAAAATCAACTCATAGTATATATATATTTATATATATATATATAATACTCATATTATTATCACTAGCTAACATTTAGGCTGGGTCTGAAATACGATCGATGTATTTCCTCCAATTGGTTTCTCTTCCACGAGAGATTCTTTCTTTCTTTTTCTTCGCACAACTTTTATTATTAACTTTGATGCTCTTTCTTTTGCTTTTCAATCGCCTCACCCATTAACCCTTCGGCTCTTCAACCTTGTTACCCTTCTCCTATGTTTTGACAATTAACAATCTGCTCGATTAAATATTTCACAGTGTCAAAACGCAAGGTCTGGGACGGTCATTTTTCACGTAAAAAATTCTCATTACGATGTAAGAAATAAATTCAATGAAAGCTAGTAGACCTAGGATTCTCTCGCGGTTTTTAATGCAAACTAGGAAAATATTGGGAATTGACGACATAATAAAAATTACCCTCCTTTCTTGTCACAAGAATCACAATAGACCGTTCGAGATCCAATTATGTTATTTTTTTTTTTTCTCCTACAAACAAGACGAACAATTCCCTACATCTACGATGTACTACAATTATCTAATACTCGACTGACTACAATAGTTCTGACACTTAGATTCAAACGGCCATTGTAGTTTTAACCTCATTCAATGAAGACATAGCATCCTTTTTCATTGGGTTTCATTTGGTTTTCATTAATGAATTTGACAGATCTCATTGGCAAATGTGTCTTCAGTGACAAAGGAAGTTCAGACCCAACATTAGTAATTAGTACCATACAAAATCTAATCACTCAGTCTGCAACGTTTAATAACACCTAATCGACTTAACTCATAAAGTTCCTTAAACTCTTAAAAGGAGCCGGACCGTTTCCATCGCTAAGAGACTTTGTCGAATCGTATCCAGTGCTCATTGTACTAACAGTTGCCCTTTTCAACCTCAACCACCTCAACCTTAAATTACTATCTAGTGCTTCGCCGCAATTCGTACAAAATCTACATACTCTTATAAATTACTCTTCCTAATCGCTACCTGAACGTTCTTTCCTCCTGTCTTGTTTTACTCCTTGGTTACCCAGCCACTCCATGGTGGACGACTTACAAAACTTTATCGTTTAATAATCATATAATACACTCAATTCTTATTATGTCTGCAAACACGCGAATCGCACTTTCTCACGTCTTATCATTTTTCTTGGTTTAACGAAAGAAAAGTGCCTTTCACTAATACGTCCGCCTAATAAAGATTCGTCGGATAATACACGTTATCACCTAGCTCTGCAAAACCTGAGTATTTCATAAATATGTTAATCCAATCGAGTCACCATGATTCTTCAAACAAATACATACCCGTCCAGCAAAATTTCGAAAGAAAAACCTGACTGGTTCTCTTCTATTTTTATACTAACAATTCTCTAGATCTTCTGCCCGTCGTATACCTATAATTTAAAGCTCGATCCATAGGAGACCTCACTTCCTGCAACCATCAGTACGTCTGTGCATTGTACAAAATTTACGCATAACACAGAACGTTTCTCTTAACTTCAATATCCTGCGTACGCACACTCATGTACTTCTCGATAGTTGGAACATTATTAATTTTTAATTTTCTACTTTATGCAGAGTCCCTCACAGATCATCAATTTTCTTCCTCGCTGGATTCTGTACTGTAGGCGAGCTGTTCGCGCCACCATTCTCTCACCTCAAGCATCACGCTGGAGACTTTTGGTGTTGTCGTCTTCGCACTGAGCGTCTCCCGCTGTTTGCTTTGCTCTGTACCTTCTGTCAAGTGTGGTAAATTGTTTTTCACGACCGCTAAGAAACAATGAGAATGTAGAATCATTTTTTATGTGAACAAAAGTTTGATAAGGAGATATTTTAGACGAGTATACTAACGGGAGGGTCGGCTATTTCTTTTCTTCGAGACGGCTATTTTCTCCTTTTCCGTTCGCACCGATGCTGGATCGGATAATGTTGGAGCAAGATACTTCCGGCCTGATCCACTTCCTATACTGTCCGATCTTGGTAGCACTATAGGCTTTTTGCTTCTATGCCTGAGACCCTCGGCGTCCTGAAAACAAGAGAGTATATAATTTCCAAAAATTTTCTATGAATCAAATTCGCGATATTTTACCTTTACCTTTACGTCAGTCTCTTCTTCGCGATCGACACTGGTTTCTTTACCCTTCTCCTCTGTGTGATCTTGAGCCGGAGTCACAGCGTCGTTTGTCGCTCGTAAGCCCGCAATTAAATTATTTTGCGTTTTCTGTAATGAACATTGTTGTAATATACTTTTTGGCAAAAAATTGATACTGAAATTATTTACACCAACTGCTCGTATCTTCTTAAGACATCCCTCCAGCCATGTTCTAATCGTCTGTTTGGCTACTTCCTCCTCTATTATATATTCAAATTCTTCACGCGCCAAAAGCTCCTCCAACTGAAGAGCTTTTCTAATGTCAACCGACCTATAGGACAACATGCTGAAACAAAGATAATATAACTGTGAACTTTATTGATGAAAAAGGAGAACGATGTTACTCACTTGATGACATCATGAAATGTTACATCCTCGCCATTGTGTAGTCGTTCCAATTCGTAACACATGTATTTAAAAAGCAATCTATCTTTTTGTGGATCTGTTTCCAGTCGTCCTTTCAATAAACGTAGTATAAATTTGACCTGAATAAAAAATTACGAAATTTATGATATCCCCTTAACAATGCAAATGAAATCGTTCAATCAATAAATATATAACTTGCAAAAGTTACCCGTCTGACTGGTATCACGCCCCGTTGATAAATATCAACGACGTTCCAGGTATTTTGAAAATTTCTTATATCAGCGTAAGATAGTAACGCGTCTTCTTCATTAGAATAGAATAAAGAAAAATTCTCCATGATAATAGCTGCAACGATGAAGACAGTGAGAAATAAATCGTATCGATTATTGCCAAACAACTTACCCACTAGTAAATTGAGAACGATATACGTAATGATAACGTAAAATGTACAAAAGTATATGAGAGACGCATGAAAGTTTCCGCAATCCGTTTCCCAGTAATTAGCAGCGGGTGTACAATATGGCGGTTGCACCATGCAGTCGTGCATAATTTTATTCCAATCCTCGCCAGTGACTATACGAAAGAGCATAGCCACTCCAGTGACAGGTGACTCAAAGTTGGCTCGTCTGTAATAAGGTATTTTTAATATAAGAAAAAGTTCACATACAAAATAAAACTATAAAATCAATACTTTTACCTGCCAATTCCTTCGCCGTACTTGACAGTTCCAAAGATAATCGTTCCCGCCAGGGCGTAAAAAAATACCAAGAGAAACATACCAAAAATGATAAAGAAACTTTTACAAACGGATACTCCCACGGTGAGCATTAACATTTTTAGTGTGGTATGTTTTCCAGTAATAGTGAAGAATCGCAGAATCACCACCATAAATCCAATGACGTATGACAGGTCGTTCTATGGACAAGGGAAATAAATATTGAACGGTTCACCATTCAAAAGCAGGAACACTTGGACTACCTACTTTCATGGTACAATGAATGACTATCCAAATGACTCCAACGACAGTGACTAAGAGGTCATATCTGTTTCTGCGGGACTGCCAATAGCCTCGTGGTGTAAACGCTATATTCTTCATGATGACTTCAACCAGAAAAACCAGCGTCAATATGGTGGAGACGGTTGCTAGAGCTTCCGTGTGTTCCTCTTCGATTCTCCACTTGAATGTTAAAATATTAATAGACTAAGTGATTCCAGTGAAGTAACATGACAACATGACAACCTCGGACTGGGGAATTCTTACCGAAACGCATAAAAGACCACTATTTATTAGGACCATGACGGCGATGAATCTTTTGAAATAAATATTCTGTGTGATGTCATAAATGAAGGCTCGAAATTTCTTGCCATCTGGTCTGGGAGGCAAATGTAGTGGCTGAGCGATTTTCAACCTCTTCTTAAGATCACACCTGTAATTTGCACAGTAATTTTTTATTATCGTTATACTCAGTAATGTTTTACAACTGATTCTAACATCTCACCAGCGTCGTTGATCGACTGTGAGCAAAGCTGTGCCTTTATTCTCTGAATAATTAGCAATAACCACGCCGACGAACAAGGTCAGACCGATCATACATCCGAGGAAGATATAAATGTGGATATAAATGGCATGGACCTAAAATAAAAAGAAGGAATAGGTCAGAACTTGACATAGATGACTTAGATAAAGTATGGGAAACTTACAGGACCAAGAGCCTTAATGAGGACGTCCCTGACGTCGAGCCATCCTTTGAACGACAAAACTTCAAAAAGTGCGAGCATCGCATCCCCGATATTGTCAAAATTGAATCTTCGTGGATTCGCCCTGAAAGAATTGGTCCTGATATTTTGAAGGGAAGAACTGTAAGAGAAAATAAAAAATAATTTACCAGACTCGCGGAACCAGTATGGATGGATAACTTTCGTTTTGTCCAGGTTGAAGTTTCATCTTGGTAACAAAGACTCTTCGCATGAAAACCCCGACGCAATCTTCCCTCCTCAGGATGGTCGGATCGTTGCAACGTGCCAGTCTTCCGCCATAAAGCTGGACCCCGTAACTCGCAAAGACGAACATCAGCAATATCAGGAGGGTGGATACCTAGAGAGCAGTTGATCTTGTGTTTGACTAGAGCTTACGAAGAGGAGGATGCAGGAATATCTACCAGCAGGATCTCTTTGAATCCTCTACAGAGTTCGTAGACAACTTTTCTCATGTGAGGGACCAGGGTGAATATTCTGAGCGGCCTTACGCAGCGCAGAATCATAAGCAGCTGCGCCCCGGAATTTGGCGGGACGCTCTTTGGCATCCAGCAGAGAAAAACGAGGCTTACCTGAAAAAATGTCAGAGGAGAGAATACAAGGACGAAACCCGTCGGTCTTGCGGGGATCGAGATTCGAAAAACTCGATATAAATACATATATATCACGGAAAGCTCGTGTGATCGAGATACGGATGAGATCCTTACCACGTAAATGAACACGTCTAAAACGGAAGCTACGTCCTTGATGTAAGCCTTAGGTGTGAAGAAAAGCCCGTCGGCCAGGATCTTCAGAGCTAGCTCGATGCTCATGAAGATCACGAAGCCGTACTCGGCGATCTGTAGGGCCGGCACTTCCATAACGCGGTACCTCGGAGTTTCGAACATCATGGATATGCAGGAGAATGTGGTGGCGCATATCATAACCCAGTCCAAGTACGTGACCAATCCGAGAAAATTGCTAAGAAAGGGCGATTCCCGTGATTGAGACCGTAAAGTAGGCATGACAGATTCTTAAAATGCGAATTCCACTTCAAGAGTGTGCGACAGTTAGAGGACTGGCGCGGCGAAATTTTCATTCTGATACTTTTTTTCCTTTCTCTTTTTTAATATTTTTTTTTACTTTTATTTCTCTTTGTTCTCGGTATGCGTGCCACACGACGTACTCACTGTAAACTCTTATACTGCACTTTTCTCTCCTTCCCGGTCAACGGATCTTTCAATCTTGCGTCGTACCGGGCATAGACGAGCAGCTGGCAGATCTTTCGAAACTTGCTCTCGCGAGGTACCGCGAACAGGGGCGTGTCGAAGAACGGATGGTTCTCCCTCAAATCGTCCTCGCGTTGGTTCCTGAGACCAGAGTTCACCGTCGAACGCGTCAAATTTGATCATAATCAACGACAGACCCGACGCCGACGTCGGCATCGGCGTCCTACGCTTCTCTGATATACCTTCTCATTTCAGCTTGCTGCCTCTTGGCCTGCAGCAGCTTTATGTCGAGATCGTGAGGCCTGCTGCGAGATGAGCTTACTCTGTTTATCGCACCGATATCCCCGTTCTCCATCAGATGCTCGTAGGTCTGCTTCAGCTTTATGGAGCCACTACGGACACTTCGTCTAATTGACCTGCGAACAAGAATCGAGCTCAGGAAAAATCGTTAGCGTCTATTCGGTACGTTCGGATCTATTATTTTTCTCTCCCATATACTTTTTTTGATCTATCCGCAGTTGCTTGGCACTGCTCACGGTTCCTTGGGGCTTCAGGAGGCCTTTGCCTGGCACTGGTATCATTGCTGAATCTCCCAGCATCAACCTTTGATTATTCGAATCGCTGGAATAATTAAGAGACTTTATAGTCAGTCATTCGATCGCAGCTTAGGTACAGTGCACTTACTTTATGATGTACGTTACTGCTGCTTCCTTAAGACTGGTCACGACGTTTCTCACTTTTGGCGGATTATTTAAAATCTTAACTGGTCGCTGCTTGCGATACACCATTTTCGAGTCGAAGGTTTCGTTGATTTTCTTGGCGCCCTCGTTCTCGTCGTCTTCTACCTCGAAAACGAATTGTCTCATGAAGCTCTCGCGCACCTTTGGCAAATTAAAATCAGACGGGACTTTGTGGAGACACGTCATTTGCGGACTGTCAGGAAATTTTTCGAAAATTCGTAATCTAAACGGTAGAGTCTCCTTGATCTCGGCACTTTGCTCACGAAACTTCAGCTGCTTCAACTTCTTGATGTCCTCGTCGAGCTCCAAATTATCCAAGATCACAGCAACGAAAAGACTCAGCACAATCTGCGGAGGTGTCGACAAAGTAATTTTTGTTCAAATGCAAAAGGACGAAAGTTTCCGTTGCTCTTGGTTCCTCTACAATTTATTATTCTCACCAACGTGACAAACAGATGATAAAGAATAAAGTACACGGCTACGAATGGCGCCATTGTTTCGTGTGTCCTGAGCATCGTTTCGTCCATGACATCCACCCATGCTTCTTGCGTCAGGATTTGAAACATGGACATGAAGGCCTGTCGGAAAGATGAGAAGGTCAGAGAAGGATTCTGATAATCCTTTTATCCGGCGGCGCTTCAATATTTCCTACAATCACCTCGGGAAACGTTTCGAATTTCGTGAAGTCACAGAGGAAGCAAAAGAGCTGCATGGAAATGCTGGAAGATATGACCAGCAAGCACATAGTGAATATAATGAGGCTGCCCAATTTTTTGCCAGGTCCAAAGATCTTGTAGACAAAATCCTCCAGCATGGGTGAAGCTTTTATGAGTCTGACCACTCTCAGAACCTGTTCAAAAGAAGGAAGAAATCCGTTTAATATACATTATCGAGCGTCATTGCTTTTTCATGGGAATTTCAAAGTTACCTGAAAGTAGGTAAATCCCGAGAGATAAAAGAACGGAATTATATGTATTGTCGTGCCAATCGCAAGTAGCAGCTCGAACTTGTGTATGGAATGTTTGTAGTAGCCGCGAAAGCCCAAGCACCAAATTTTGAAGAGCGTCTCGAGATCCAAGAATATCGTGAAAGCGATTTCGGCATAGTAATAATTATCGTAATAGGTATGACGTGGTCTCTCGTCGTGCTTAAAATTCATTGTGGCCGTGGTGATGCCGTTCGCCAAAATGGCGCACATGACAACCATACGAAAATGCGGCGAGCGAAGAATCGCATGACACAACGGAGACGCGAGTCCACCATGTTTATTCTCATCGAGCGTTATCAACTTCCAGCCATTGTCGTCTCCAGTCAAGATCTAAAAGAATGCGTCACTCTTAGGGACAAATCGATTCACAGTTTCCTATTCGTTCGCCTATTTTCTCCGGCGCTTCTTTCAATTCAATAAAACGTCTCAAACATTTACCTGAGAAGCCGAACTGTTACTTATGTGTCCACGCACGCCCCACATTTGTTGAAACTGCACTCTTATCTCGTTAAACGTTTCTGTTATCACAGCGATGAAAACATTTTTCACGAGCCAGGCAAGAAAGAAGATCATCGTACTGAAATACAAAACTGCCCGCCACGCTGGTAAACTGTCGATTGCTCTGTACATGATGAAGACCCATCCTTCCTGAGAGGCAGCTTGGTAGACTGTGAAGATACTTGTTGCTGAAATCATTGTAATACTTTCTCACAGTTCTTCTGTATCAGATACCTATCACGTGGAAGGATCGGTTAATTTATTTCTTACCGAATTCATCGAATCCATTAAATCCCATAATGTACCGAGAGAGTTCTAATTTCATGCACATCATTCCTTCGGGACACTGATATCCGGACTCGGGGTCGGTGGAACAGAAGGTGTCAGGTATGGCCATGCTGTTTATGGTTATGCGATTAGGATCGGTGTTGTTTAGGACACAGTGATTCTTCAGCTCGCCAAAGAACTGGACTCCGAGTAGGCCGTAAAGAGACATGAAGAATAGGAAGAACAGGGTCACGTTGTAGATCTGTTGGCTCGACCGTCTGAAAGTGGAACGGATTAGCTTCGGTAAATATCCAAAGACTCTTTATTCAGACCAATGTAATTCAAATGACTGTTACTTGAAGATCTGATTGATCCTAGACTTTGGCATGGAGAATTTGAGGAAGACGCGAAGAAATCGTATCATGATCAGAGGACGTGGAGCTCGCATAATGGAAGCGTAACTGAACTTGAGAACAAAGCCAAGCATCTCGAACATTTGTAGGATAACAGACAACCATAGAAAGAACACCATGCTCGCGTCGAATTGACACCAATGATCCTTCAGGTAAGGCACCTCTCCCTGCAACAGAGTCATCGAACTCTAGATCTAAGTTGTTAAATAACCTAAAGGTAGATATCAAGCGCAGGATTGAAGTTACCTTCAAGATACCACGGATGTGCATTTTGGCTATCATTTCGGCAGTAAATAGGAAGGTAACTATGAGGTCGCAAATAAAGGTGACATACTGAAGCGGCGGCACCTTCTCGAAGGTCTTCGGAGTGTTGAGGCAAACTGATGCCAAGGAAACCAGGGCGCAGAACCTCATTAATCTTCTGACCCAGAGCTGAAAGCATCGGCCAAGTGGAGAGATGAGGAAATAATAGAGAATTACTGCTGTCTGAGTTTCACTTTCATTTTTCCTCCATGACCAACCTTATTTACCCATTCGATGTCAGCACTTTCGTTGAGGGATTCCTCTGGACCGTAATCGGCCAGGACGGGCTCCCCTTTGAGGCTCTGCTTGCGCCCCAACATCATAATAGGGATTATGTTCGCAATGGTGAGGCCTAAAAAATAGTGAGTTATCAGTCCCTTAAGGATCCTTACGAGTTATCAGAGGATTTGAGATTATCAAATAGTAACATAGCCACAGGACTCGAGGAACTCATCCTGCACGTTATACAATTTTTTTTTTTTTTTTCATCGCGTGCTAAAGACACTCAGCTATTTAGTAGCAATATACTTGGAAAAGATTTGCGATTTTCATTTTCCTTTACATCCTCTATATTCTTAACGCACTCAATGAACCGGATGTTCCTCAAGAACGCAACTCCTATCTAACATCTAATGTAATACATTATTTTGGAGAATCTGTATATTTAATTTATTTTTTAAAAAGTAGGTAAAACAGGGATTTAGATAACGAGGAATACACCAAACGAGGTCACTAAAGATACTTGTAACGATGGGGGAGGAACGTACACTGTCATCTAGAAATCTAGAACGATCAACGAGGTGGAACTCTCTTAAGGACCCAACTTCTATTTAGATGTAATGTTACTCCATTCGAAAATTCAAGGAATCGACGTTCTCCTCTTTTCTTTGTCTTTGAATTCTTCTAGTAATTTTTCTTATTTTTTTTTTTACCAATAGTTCAACGCACATAAAACACATTGACCACATACACATACACGTTAAGCGTATATAGAACACTTGAAGCATGTATATACTCACGCCGCCGCAACTTTAATTTCACCTTTATTATTGTCAAAACATTAGCTGAAAAATTATTTAACAATATAAGCCATCTACATCTACGTCATTGTTTTTAGGATGTCATTTTTATTATCTTTACGGTATTAGATTTATTTCTTCGATTATAAAACGGGGACTGTCTCTATCGGAACGTGTCATTGAATACAGCTATAAATACTTGTTATAAGAAGCAAGATTTGGTGCCTTTGTAATTCGCGCAGAATGCGGTAAAAGGATTTTTATAAATAGAAGATAATGAATGTTTAAAGATATTCACACATGTCGCACCCTCAAGTGGAGCTCTCAATTTTTTTGGTCATCCATGTGCTCATTATTGGCTGACACTCTCTCATGTAAAAAAAAAATGGGACACATTCGCCGAGCCCATTCGACAGGCCGTCCGAAAAGTGGGAAAGAATAGGAATGCTTATAGACTGCTAGATGCTCACCTTTTTTTCAACCGTTCAGCCGACGAAAAACTCTGCCGTTAAGGCAAATCGAATAAACTACATTTCACATAAAATAACGTTAAAGATCAACGATTGATAAACATCTTAGTAACAACAAGCTGGCGGCATGGTGGCGAAGATTTTGGTGGGGCTAGAACGTACAGCCAGCTGAGATGCTGAGCATGAGCAGTGACAGTCCCTTCTCATGCCTGAAGATCAATATTTCAAAACTCGGCCATGGTGCACGGAGGTTAACAGCGCGCGGAATCCGCAGCACCAGGAAGATCCTATCATTCTTCTATCGGTCAAAAAGACAGTACAATTTCCTTTTTAACCTAGGGGAAGTTCCTTAATCTTACCAAGTCATTTCCGGTTGTAGCTACGAATTGATATGCAAGGCACTTGACGTATTTATTGTCGTAATAATAAAATAATTTCACTAAAAAAATGTTTTTTATATAATAATCTATATCCACTAAATGACAATAATAAAATATGTAACTCTGCGTCTTGTGGACCTTGAATTCATTGAAATATCTTACATAGTCCGGCGTGCTTAAACTAAGTATAATACTTTTTGTTATGTTTTTGCAAATTGTATAGGTAATCTTTCTTTGTAGCATTGCTTTTTCACCTTCTTTAACATCCTCGTACAGCTTTCTCAGCAGCAGCCATCATCATACTGAACTCAGAGTATGGATTACTCAACAAGTTAGTTGGCGTGTCAAATTCGAGAATCATTCCATTATTCATTAACAAAATACGATCGCAATATTGGACTGTTTGTAATCTATGTGCAATCGTAAGCACAGTGCAGCCTGAAAATTCTTGCTGTATCGTATTTTGAACAGCTATTTCCGTTTCGGGATCCACCGCAGCCGTTGCTTCGTCCAGTACAAGAATCTGTGAAAAATAGAAACATTGAAAAAGCAGAATCTAGAGCAAATAAATTAGCTTCATTAACGTCATTAGCGAAATATTACTTTGCTGCGTCGTAATAAAGCTCTGGTTAAGCACAGAAGCTGTTTCTCTCCCATACTCAAGTTATCTCCCCCAAATCCAACGGGGGCATTCAGTTGAGCGGAAACGGACTCTATCCTGCTTTTTAATTTCGTCTTTTCAAGGGCCTCCCAGATCTCGGTGTCTTCGTGTATTTTAAATGGGTCCAAATTGGATCTACAAATTAGGGTAAATACATGAAGTTGAGAATACTTTAATACTTGTTGTAAGACATTGTTATTGCTATAATACAACTTTTTACGTACCTTATACTTCCGCTAAAGAGTATTGGATCTTGCGGCACGATCGACAATTTGCTTCTCAACAAATCCAAGCTTGTTGTTGTTATGTCCACGTCGTCAATTTTTATTTTTCCACCAGCCAACTCAACCAATCTGAATAGTGCAACTGTTACCGAGCTTTTGCCAGAACCAGTTCTACCGACGATACCTAACAATATTTATCATATGTTGAACTAAAATACTATTATAATAATCTAAGCTGTTGATTCATTAAATCATACCGATTTTTTCCCCCGCTGTGATAGTGCAAGTAATTCCATTTAATACCAAAGGCAAACCCGTCCTGTATCTCATTTGAACATTTCGAAATTTAATTTCACCTCTAGTTGGCCAATTGACAGGTAACTTTCTATTTGTTTTTGTATATTTTTGTTCTTCGCTCTCTAAGGTCTAAACGGAAAATTAATTCATTAATAATTAGTCTAATTAAAGTATCGATCGTCAACATGAAATTTACCTTAATGTAATGCTCGATATTTTCAACGCTTATGAATCGAACATCGGCTTCTGATATCAATCGGACATAGTATTGAAAAACGCCTGAAATATGGGCACAGTAAGTCAAAGCCAAACCCGCGAGGGCTGGCGAAACTTGATCTTTCATGCCGATCACGAAAAAACCTGTGATACTAATAGACAACACAGCTAAGCCATCAAATCTCACTGCGAGCCAGCGCATAGCTATATTACAGAGAAATGACGAGGAATTGTTTAAATCAAACAATTCTTGAAACCTAAAAAAACAAAATTATTATAATGACGAGCACCTCAGTTATATCTTGAAGATGTTATAGATATTTCTCGTTTGCGTACTTTGCCAAGCACTCATTTTGTTTGTCAAAAGCACGGATGGTGCTCAGTCCCTGTGTGGTAGTCATGAGAAAACTGAAGATCGGTGATCGCGATGAGTTTTCAATCCGCCTGAGGTCGCGAATTGCTACCCTAAAATTCATAGCATTCTAAAATGTAAAATTGTTTTGTCTTCTGATTAATTTACATGATTTCACCTGAAGACTGCATTGATGAAGTAGTAAAGCGCAGCTAGAAATATCAGCGGTATTGTGAACCACGGGAAGACCATGCATATAAATAGAACAGCAAAAAGGACAATAAAGGTATTTTGTATAATACCCTCCAGCGTTATGGGTAACCTGGTATCCACTATAAATCATATTTTATTAATGTTCGAAATATATTCCATGACCTACATCATTCGACATGGAAGCTCACCTTCGTCCATGTCTCTACTGAACATGTTTTGTATTCTACCACTTGGGGTAGTCTCAAAGAATTTCATTGGAGCTTGGATAATTTTTTTAAACACTGCATTATGCAATGTCGTAGATGCGTTTATAGTGAATTGTGTGATTGCCAAACCACGTAGTAAACTCGTTACCAATATAACGACAATACATGAAGCGTAGACAGTCTGATAATAATTAAAATCTGGATTGTCGTTTATATTATTCGAAGGTATTGTTTCATTGCCGATAATCACAGTCTCGTTCTGTTGTTCAAATTATGCAATTAATTCAACTTAATATACAATTTTCAGAAGACACGTTTCAGATCAATTACTTACACCACCACCAATCTTCAACCAATTTGCTAGCCACCAATTACTAAAAGCCGTGCTGCCAATGTTAAAGAAAAATGCCAGGACTACCAGAAAACAGGCGAAATAACCACCTGCTGATATGACGTACATGTGATAAGTATGAGCCTTGACGCTACCACGTTCCACTTTGTCAGGTACCATTAAAACAGTTCCTTCAAAAAGTTCAGAACATTACAGAGATGAGTATTAACAATCTTCTACAGAATGTATTTCAAAGTTGACCAACCAGCATTCTCCACTTTCTCTGGAGCCTTCACATTTGCTTGAGAATTTGAACTCAAAGTTCGGTCTATACTTTTCAATTTTTCTACTTTATCTCCACCTGTCTCCGTCTCTTCCGGTTCGCTATTCTCCTGTCTACACGCAAAAAAAATAGTTAAGAAAATATCCTAAAAAACTATCCAATAAACCTACTCTGCAAGATTACTCTCAGATTCCGCCTGAATGGTCTTGATCATCATCGCATACTCCTTATCAAGTTTCATGAGGTCCCCGTGAGTTCCATGTTCGACTATCCTGCCTTCCCGCAGCATATAAATATCATCACATCGGTTTAAATACTATAAAAATTATTATCCAATTGTTATGTCAACTTAAGACATTAAGACATCAATTAAAATTATCACATACTTGAACTTGATGCGTGACGAACAGGACGGTTTTATCCTTAAGAGCATCTAATATCAAATTGTCAAAAATATGGATACCTACGTGAGCATCTACAGCACTCAAAGGATCATCCAAAAGATAAATGTCCCTGTGGAAGAGGTAAAAAAGTGTTAAAAAACCTAATTTTTATTTTTATACATACATATTCTTAATATACCTATCTGCATAGAAAGCTCTGGCAAGAGCTACTCTCTGTTTCTGTCCTCCAGAGAGATTAATGCCTCTTTCGCCGATCTCAGTCTGATCTCCACCTGGCAACATATTCAGATCCTGACCCAAGCTGCAGGCTAAAAGTGCTTTATAGTAACGCGTAGATTCAAAGGGCTCGCCAAACAAGATATTTTCGCGCAGAGTCGCATTTATGATCCACGCTTCTTGACTAACAAAAGCACAAGAACCATCCCTCATCACTTGACCGCAGTGTATCCTCAATTGTCCCAACGCTGCAAGCAACAAACTCGATTTTCCACTGCCAACGTGACCGCAGATTCCAATCAATTGTCCCTTGGATGCTTCAAAAGAAATATCTTGAAGAACTTCTATTCGCTTCACATTTACTGAATTTCTCAATCTCTCAGTTTCTTCATTCTCGCTCTTCTGATTCGTGTGGACCTTCTTTCTGCAAGAACACAGAGTATACCTTACGACTTCATAAGTGGAATACTAACTTGACTAAACCAGACTTACTTCTTCTTTCGCTTTGAGCCAGTTGATTTATCTTCTTGATTTTCAAAGAAAGTACAAACAAATGTTCCGTGGACAATACCGACAGCTTGTGCTTCAATAGTTGGCTTTAAAATCAAGCAGTTACCCTCTTCAAGTAGCAGCAAACTCTATACATACATTATTGCGTTAATTTTCTACCTAATAAGTACATTATCGAGAGTGGAGGAATTTAAACACTGTAGCATTTATTAGTAATAGCAAACTCAAGAAATTTCAAATTAAAGATTTAACTTATTAATTAGATACTTTAAAGAAATGACAAATTTACCGAATATACTCTCCATACTCGATTACAAGCACAAGAAGAAGCAAGCAAGGACAAATAGGCAAAGACCAACATTACAAACAAAATTGAAGCCATTAAAGCAGAAACGAAGAATAGAAATGTACATAGTCTTAGAATTTGTTGACGAATTGACACAGTGCCAAATGCATTAACGAATTTCTTCCATTGATTTCGCTCCCTGAAAAATACACAGTAAACGTTGTATAAGCTTATAATTTTCACGAACAATAATAATTGGAATAAGCTGCATAATGAAGTACAGAAGGCTGTTCATTTATAAATGATGATTCTATTTTTTTCAATGATTGTTATTTAAATTTAATTGAGGAGATTATTTATAAATAGACGATAGCACGAGCTTTTATAGAAAAAGTGTATGAATAGAGGTAAAAAAGAAGCTACGCATAGTTGCATTGAGGAAAACTCATCGGTAATTATTAGCTACTTCGCACACGATACGAATAGCTGAGACCTTGAATCGGCGAAATGATATCATGGCATCAAATATATTAGCGACACCCATCTGCAATATGTTGAATGTATTACGAAGCTGCGAATTGAGGAAGGTCAAAAGTGGGAATACCTGAAACAATTTACGAATTGTACCAATTCTCATTCATGTCCACTTCCTGTTATTTCAATGAATATGTGTGTGAATATGTGTGTTGTGCGTATGCGTGACTGATGACTGATACAGGAAATGGAAATCTAGGATCTAAATACGGGCATCTGATAAAAAGTTTGAGAAAATGCTATCACTTCTGTCCTTCTACTCTTTAAACTAGACTATTTTTTCGAACAAAGCCGGCATTTTATCTGTATATCCAATGTAATATTACTACAAAAACAAGAATATTTAAGGGGAAATCTACTAGCAAATATTGACATTAAGTATTGATAAGACCCAGGTAACATACTGGATTTGTGAAGCAAAGTAAATTAAGTAAAACATAAATTTATGCAAGACCTTAAATCTGCTAAAGGCTATGAGAGCATCGACAACATTTTGTGTCCAATCCTTAATTCTCGAGAGGGCCTGCTTCATCTGATTTCCAAAAAATGTGCAAATTGGAAAAGCCTGGAAAGATATTCCGTTATTGAATGAATGGCAGCATGAATTTCGTCCTAAAACGCGAATAATGATCATGTGAAATGTTTTGTATGCCGAAATGAATTAGAATTGAAGAACTACAGGTGCCTTCCACTTCTCACTTACTTCTGCGGCCGTTAAGTTATTTCCGGCGGCAATATGCGACAGGAAGGTTACAATGGCCGATATAACAGGCACTGTGGGTGCCAGTGATACACTAAGGCTCTGGAAATAGGCAGTTTTCAAAAGTAAACTTTGCTCTTGTTTTCTAATACCTACAGGGAGAAGCAGTTCGTTACTATGTAGCAGCAAATTGCTGGCTATAATTATTACTCGTTAGATATGATCAAGCACTGACCAATAAGATCTTCACTGAAGCGTCTCTCCCATGCATACATCTTTATCAACTTTATGCACTGTAGTATCTCATTCATCAGTCTGATTCTCGAGTCGCCGACCTTCACGGCTTTCCCTCGATAATAACTAGTTGTCCGTGAAATTATATACTGCAAATCAGATCGGTATATGGAGTCATATAAATATAACTTTCAGTGACCTCTGCACTCTTACCTGACAAGGATAAAATATCAGAAATGCGATCATCCCCAGCAAGGCCATTGGACTTAGGATCCATAAAATGTAAAATACGCCGCATATGGTAACTATGGGACCACCGATTACCATAGGACCGAGAATAACCATATCAAATACTCTCTGCGAGTCGTTAGAAAACACGTTAAGTAACTGCAATCATTTTAGATAAATAAAAATTCTTGATTGCTGATAAACTGTCATTTACATGATGCTAATTTCAATTTTTGTCATCACCTCCCCAATGCTTTTATTGCCCAAGTTGTTCAGTCGAATGATTTTTCTATAACACACGATTAGGCATGCAGAGCGCAATCTTAGTGCTGTTCTGTAATTCATAGCCCACATCGAGGAAAATATTAGTATGCGAATAAATTCAGATAACGTTAAGAGTAGAGCCCATTTTATTCCTTCCTGGATATTTCCGTCGGAAGTCTGTACGAAGATTAGCAATCTTCGCATTAGTAGTGTCTGCATCAAAATGTAATGTTAGTCTGTCAGATCATATTTAGAATAAATCAAGATAAAATAAACATACAGGAGCTATAAATCCCAATATAAGAGATGCAGTGTACAAGCTGCAAGAAATGTAAATCCTTGTACGAATGAACTTCCATGCTGCTGAAGTCAAAGATGCTTTTTCATGTCCAAATTTGCTCAGCTCCTCGTTCCATAATAATTCCAGCCTAAATATTGCAAACAATTCAGTGATAAGTATAAATGAAGAGTGATGAACATATAGATATGCTATGCTCAGAAACCAAAGTTTAAGAGTTGAAATAGTTCAATTGCTTTATTGTGAACAACCTCTTTCCATTATATTCACATCCATCATAAGGTGAAACAGCAGGCAAATCCTTCAATGTAATTCCTTGCCGAAAAGCCTTCCACATGTATTTTGAGAGCCAGGAAAATGTAATGAATGAAAATAAACCTACGTTATCTATGGGCATTGCTTCTTGTTTTCTGTAAAATATTCCTTTAATCCCATTAGCCTCGTACATTATACCTTATATCTAGTAAATGCTACCACTATACATACTTCAATTTAGGACGTAATGGTATAAGGTTCCTGAGTGCATTATCATATTTAGAAAATCCACGCCCCGGAATATATTGCATTGTTCGTTTGGAACTATCATAATATTCTGTATTTCTTAACGGAGAACAAAACTCTCCATCCATGACATCACCTATTCTATAGATACAAAAGTAAATAAGTTTTATGCCTGTCCTAACAGAGAATATATAAAATTCATGAAATACCTGTGTTCAAGAGAAATACATCTTCCAATCTCATTTTCAGTACTTTCATCTTGATTCTGTATTTCACTGCTCTTCTCTTCTTTATCCATCCTTATAATTTTTAAAATGTACCTTTAAATGCAAAAGACATTAACTATTGAAATCAATGGCAGAATCCCTCATTAATATTTATGTATGAAAATTGCATTAGAGGGCTTTCAGATGTATAGCTCGGTAATGCCCGAAGAGATTAGTGTTTACAGACCCTACCTTTTCACATAGAAGTTATCCAAGCAGGTATATCGAACTTAAAATTTGAATAAATCCTGCTTAGAATTTAATTTAACAGAATCCGTCACTTGATAGAAAAATTATATCGTATGTGATGAGAAATAGAATGTCTCTAATACTGACGACACTTTAATGTTTTACTGCATTAGTGTGACACATTACGCTTCCTTATCTATAATGCTATTTAAATAAACGATTATCAGGGAGGTTAGATTTTATTCAGCTCAATGAAATATCTATTACGATAAAAAACATCACCATTAAGAAAGTCCAAAAATCTTCTTCAGTCATCATCAGCGATCAACTTTGTCACGTATTAGGTCATTTACACACCAATTTTTAAGAGATTCTGAATTACTCCGTTTATGTCAGTTTGCACTGTGTATTAGCATAAGCGAAACAAAACGTACGGCTCTACAATACAATGGACCGAATGCAAACAAAGAAATCTAATAATAGCCAACATTTTTTTTCGGAAAGCAGGATATAGGGTAAATGAGTTTATTGTAACGTTATCGTGTTGCTCTAAACTGGATTCAAAGCAACACAAAACAATTACACTAAACTACTAATTGTAAGCACAGTCCAATCTCGAATAAGTCCAGCCATTCTGAACTCCTTCCTCACCATTCTTCGTTTTTTCGAGGTCGGAAGCTTGTCTCACTCTAAATCTTATTCGAGTATGAGACGTATATCTCGTTATAAACCTTTAGCCAAATGTCAGTTATATGTACATATCCGAGTAAAACTAACGACTTATGACGAATAGTCTTGACCAAATTTATTAAAGGCAGTTGTAGGGGAGCCATCATTTTTAGAATTGATTCCCCTACAGCTTCAGCTACGGGCTTATAACGAAATTGGACTGTATATATATTAATTAACCACGTTGGATTTAGAATATTAACTTTTATTCTTATTTGCTCCGTTGTACAGCTCACACATAAACCGTTTCGTAAACGTCAATTCGTATTTCGCTCGCCTCCTTTTCACTCATTCCCTGTGTTTTTTTCTTCTATCGTTATTACTTGAGTTTACATTTTCTTCGCGTTTCAGTACATTGATTCGTCTCCTAAATTTTCCTGAAGTACAAAATAGAAGTATCTGACGAGCACGAGACACGCAAAACGCACGAGACCATTCGCATCGTGGAAAGAACTGTAGTATTCTTCATCTTCTTCGACTTACAAATATAATTGCAAATAAATATAAACCCTCACTTCAATCCGAGACAAGTTTTCTATGGCAAATCTGTATCAGTCAAATTGACATTATCAAAAGTAGGACTTCATAGGATACCTGAGGAATTTAATTCCAACCCAAGAATTGGAATCATAGTTTTTCATTAATACATGGACACCAAACTGTGCTCCTTTTGATATCGTCGATTCAAGTTCAACATAGAAAAAAAAAAAAACGTAAAACTTACAAAACGAAAGGCAACGAATACGCAAAATTTATGCCTCCGTGTTGACATTTGTATTTGGAGAGTTCCAAACATTGACTTTCGATTATACTTGCGCATTGAAAATTAAATCCTATTTCACATATAACATTTCTCAAATATTTCAATAGCTCAACCCAAGTACGTATGCGTTCAATTACCTTACGATTCTTAAACTAACTACTTGCCAGGATTTGGAAGTAATTGCGTGAGTTTCTTTTGTATGAACATTTATACTACAAAGAAAATGTAGTCTATGAAACAAAATTCATACTCCTGAGGCTTATAGATATCGAAGGATTCATGTTCACGAGAGCGATTCCTGAGAATTTATTCCTTATTAATAAACAAAAAAGAAAGTTTCATCGCTTTCATTGACATTGAAAATTTCGTTTGACATTACCAGGTTTTTTGTTTGACGGTATACCTATCTTAACATCAGATTAGCTGGATTTATCGGAACGCAATTCACTAATAAAAATTAGCTCTCGAACCAATGTAAGATTTTCAAGTAGTTTTTGGACGTGTCGTAACATCCCCGATATTTAACACGTGTACCAAGGCTGCAATGATTCATGATATTCTTACGTCAAATTACGTGAAAAATAAGTCTTATCCGCTATCGAATTATTATATAGTTTATATTATATGCTTTTTTTTTGCAAGAATCAAAAAGTGGAAAAGATTAATGGCTTATAACGGAAAGTCCATCACGGCTTAAAATGGATCTTAATGGAAATGATCCGTCCGTATATCTGTCATCGAAAATCCTTCCAATACGTTAGTGCCAACCGATTATGAAATTTCAGGTTCTCTTTCAAAAGCTGTTATAATTATTGCCTCCCAACTGACTGCTATATCCTCGGTTGCTTGGAGAGTAACCTGGCCTGAAGTTATTACCTAAACCTGAAATTCAAATATTAAGTTCTTGAATACCACCACAAAAACTTCAGACCTACCGTGAAAACTCTAATATTCTAATTAAGACAAAAAAAAACAGTCAAGTATAAATATTCAAAAATTACAGCAACCTACCGCCACAGAAGTTTCCAATTCCACCTAGGGACATTCCGCTGGAACCACTGGAGGAATTTAAGAACAGTTCGATATATCTATGAGACATGTGACTCTTGTCCTGTAAAAAATACATATATTAAAAACAAACCGCAAAAAGAATATATATCTTATATTTAAAAAAGGCAAAACAATATTGTCCTCCCAACAAACCTTGGACATAGCTTTAACAGCTTCCTCATGCGTAGCGAACTCGACATCAGCTTCTCCAGAAGCCCGACCACTATTTTCCAAAATAATTCGAATGTTTACCGGCACAACGGGTCTGAAAAACTTTAAACAAAAAAGACATTAAACGTAGAATAACAAGATTAATATAGCGTAATAGCTAAATTAACTTACGTCGGCTATGTCTTGTTCTGTAGCCCTGAATGGCAATCCTCGCATGTGTATGCAGTGCATACCGGAATTACCACTCCAATTGTCACCACTTCCTCTGAAATTACCGCCCTTCATGTCCATGTTCCCACGCATACCCATATTTCCACCACGCGATCCAAAGTTATTCCCACTGCCCCACAGGCCGCCGTCAAAATCTACAAACGCATAATGCAAGTAATTTCCAACATTTCTTCTAAATTTGTTTGCCGTTTCAAAAGTTCTGACACAACAGGCATGAATAACAATGTTTACCTCTGTTTCTGGATCCTCTGCCATTGTTACTAAAACGATTCATCCCGCCGAATCGATCACCACGATCGTAAGGAGCTGGTCTCTGATTAAATCCGCCCATCGGACCTCCGCGCATCTTCGGTCCAATACTTGCGCGCACCTCTGACAAGCTGCTTCGGAAGATTTCGATGTATCTGTTGGCGACCGAGGTACATTTGTCAAAATTCGAGATTCCCTTCCACGCGATGATTACTGTCGATCGTATATACCCGAACTGGACGTATCAAAACATTTTTCAAGAGAATTTTAATGAACCCTTGACATTTCTACCTCGTAATTCTAAGCGACTTTATCAATCAAATTGATCTTATTGACTGGTTCTTGAAAATAGTACTATATCTTCTTGAAACAGATTATAATACCCAATCTTCTAATAGAGCAACAGCGATAGTAGAGATATAAATGTTAATCGTCCCTTTTCAAAAATTAATAATGCTACTCCAACTGCAGTCTGATGCATAATGGACAAGAGCAAGCACATAATTTTTACTCTTCAGTTTTGCCCTGGATTCTTTTTCAAATATAATCTGTCAACAGACTAGTATACTTCATAGTTTAATCAGTTTCATTAGAGGTACAGTAAGTAGCCTGGTGAAAAGGAATATCTGCATTGAGCTGGATTAAGTTGTGGTAAATGGATGTATCGTTCTGGCTCTATAATAACCAGGTGGCCTCTTGTCACTCAAAAAGACAGTAGCAAAATATAATAGAAGTAATGCATACTCATGTCCCATGAATTCACCCTTCTTTACTAACGTCGTGCAGCGACAAATCAATGTGACCCTGATAAACCTTTGTAGTAAGGTACAATTACAATTGAACTCCACCGTCCTGGACAGCAGTATTTCTTTGAAATGAAGGAATATATAAGTGCGTGAAATAAGATTTGGACGCAATTGTAACGAATATGATGAAACCAGGATGAAAAGTGCAATTGTAATTATTAAATAAATGTGTGAAATTAAGGTGATGGCTACTACCTCCGGAGTGCCCACCCTCCCACGGCGAAATGCCTTGGGGTAGCCCTACCCACTTCCCATGGGATTTTGGTGGCGTTTGGTGTAAGGGGGTACCTCCCGCCCGGCGCCCACCCACAGGTTTCGGTCGGGCCAACAGTACTTTGCTTACATGCGCCTAGATTTTCTTTTTTTCTCTTGTTTATCTTTCTTTTTTTTTTGTTTCGAATTCTCTTTAGAATTTCGAACGCGGTTGTTTCTCTATTTTGCTATGCCGGCCGAAAGTGGGAAACGGACTTGGAAACTCTTCCATTACTTCCCGTTTGTACACCAGTATGGCGGAATAAGTCGAGACGATGTACTTACCAATTAGCAGTTAATCTGACCATTACTTAAATTTAGCCTCTTAATCACAAGACAAAAACAGTCATCGTGAGATGCTGGAATGACCGGAACGATAGTCAATTCTTATTGGGATGTTTAGAGTACAGGCAGCGTTGAATCTCAAATAATTTAAAATTCATTTGAGTTCGGACGATGCGAAATAATTAAGCATTCAGTCCAAGACACAATCGGTACGTGATCAGCTGGCGAGGACGTGAAGATTGTATCTTATCGAGTATGAGTAGCAGATTGTAAAGGAACTGCCTCTACGTAAAAACTGTTTCCCACTATCGACTAACAAATGGATAGGCCTACATGTACTACAATCGTAAAATGATATTGAAAAATCATAATGTATACCCAAACCCAACTAGCGTCAGTGCCCCACCTGTGTCCTATCTTTTCCTTGTGTTTCTGCAGAGCGCGCTCCGCAACATCTTTGTTAACAAATTGAACGTAAGCCTCCCCAGTACTGCGGCCCGTGTAGTCTGTCGGTAGCGAAATCCCGTTCGGCAATATCTCCAACCCTGACCCACACATAATCAAATAACCACATTGTAGCGTAACACCCATTACATATTAAAGTATCGTCAACTTATCAACAACCCTTACAGAGCAACATTTCATTAGCCCTATCGTCGCAATCAAAATGTCAGTCAAGCTTTAACCGCTTCTTAGAATTGCTTCTTGGAAAGCCATTATGACAAATCATCTCGCAGATGGCACCATTCAACTACGTAATGAGATCATTTTGTTCGTTTATTCGTTGCAATTCTAAATGCGTGTTAAATCTCAACTGGAGTACTGGTCTGAGCCTCTAGGGCAGAATATAGTTGCGAATAAGTCATAGTTATTATAACTGGTTTGCATGGATCTTATACTCTTCCTTCTTTTTCAAAAAATAAACATTCGAGAGATATTTAAATGTAATGTGCAAGTTTACGTATGGTACCATAGAAATTCTCGATTCTCATTGAATAATATAATCATTAAAAAGTTTTAATCCCTGTGATTTGACATGTTATTTTACAAGATTATAAGAAAAATATGATCTTACTAACACTTTATCTCGAGAATTGAACTGAATACAAGACAAAAAATTTCATTAGTACACTGACTAATGAATATATACAAAATAACGACATTTGCCAATAATAATTAAAACGATTAATACAATAATTAAAGTATGTGAGTAATTCAGTGGATATTAACTCTCATACCTGAGAAAAACTGTGCTATCTCCTCTTTGGAGCACCCAAATGGTAACCCGCGTAATCTGACACAGCCATCATCCATTGCATTTTCCAAATTTAACCCACTCCTCTTGACAACCCATTCCATTTCACCCCGCTTTGCCTTGAAAACTGGAAGTATAATATGCAGTGTTAATTAAAACCTCTCTTTCCTTCATCTAACTGTATATACAATATGACATATGTTTAAGGTATTGACCTTCAATGTATCGATGACCCATGTGATCTCGGTCCCTCTTGCAAGCCTTCTCAATGTCATCTTCCGTCTCCATTTCTATATAAGCTTCACCGCTTGGTCTCCCTTCACGGGACATTGTCATATGAATACCAGCCTTTCCATGAGAAATACTGCAATCGCTGAAGAACTTCATAATCTCATCCACAGTGGTAGACCAGGGTAGTCCTCGTAACTTAACAACATATCCTTCATCATCATGATCTCCACCATCATTCGACATGCTGTAGTTGTCCTTCTGAGGATTGTATTTCTTTTCGTTCTGATCTACACTGCCGTTCGACATATAGTTGCCCTGTCCATATACAATGTTGTAGATATGAAAATTATCAAGAATAGTAACGATTCCTTTCAAAATAATTGTTTAACTCATTGTAAAACGTTAAAGTAAAATCGCTTCTTGAACTGAAGCAAAATTTGGAAAAAGGGAATTCTTTAATAGAATATGTATTATTTATCGAACTATAAAATTTTAGCCACCGAAAGTTACGAGACGTTTGAGCCGTTTAACGTAACTGCGTGGGATATAGGCGACACCGTGTCATACCTGAGGTCACCGGCAAAATAAATTGCTGTTATGTACAACAAACTTGAAGAAACATCAAAGAATTCTTTTTTATCAAGTTATCAATAAATAAATGCGAAAAATATAATCAATATTATTTTACAACGAAGAAAAAATGGCGTTTTTGAAAGGGACGCTTCAAACATGCTCGCTCTCTGCTCAACGATAAAGCTACCTTTTGAGATTCCAAAATGTTAAAACGACTTAACAAAATATTGGCCTTTTCTCTACCAGCAAATAAAATATACAATAATACTCACGTATGCTTACTCACGTAGAGTTTATGTAGTAATATTCGATGCTGTTGAGCTTCGAAAACGTGTATTTTAACCGCAAACGAGAAGCTGACAGCGTCTACTCATCCACCGACACTACGCATCAAGTACCGATCGGCAAAATGGCGCTACCCACCCGGATATGACGAAACCACCCGAAGGTTAGGAATCGGATATTCGGATATTTCCGTTGACTGAAGAGCATTAAAGAATCTCATTGGTCAACATAAATTATTATTGAATTTTATATGTAAGTATATACTAGTAACTGAGATAAGCACTTGGAATAGGTAAGTAAATATTATATTTTGCAAAATACAAAACTACCAAATTTTATATATCGAGATATTTGTAAAAATTATGATCTAACAAATTTTAAAACAGACCTTCGAGTTCGTTTGAAAAATTCGTTCATGGCATGTCAAATACTAGTGACAAATAAAACTTTACACATTTTAAAGAACAAATATTTCTGGTCCAGTAGGTATCCACAAAATGTTTGTTCCCTTCCTTCTTAAAATTAACCAATTTTATCAAATGAAGGGGTACTAAGAGCAATAATATTTTCTCTTATAAGTGGCTGTAGTCACGTCCTCACTGGTTTTCACGTCGTGGGAGCGGACGTGACGCAGATCATCGGGAAATGAATCCCGTGTGAAGGGAACGGACAACGGAGTGCAGTCGACGAATCTGAACGGATCACGGACAGTTGACAAAACGTCCTGTATCTGAGTCTGTCTGGTTCGTGCCTGTCTGAGCATTGCTCAATACCGATCGGTGAACAAGCGAGCCAATAGTGATTGTCGTAACGTCGTCTGTTGAAATTTTATGCGGTTTTACCGTTCAGCAAAGAAGGCGACAATTCGCACCGGTGATCATCCTTTCGAAGGATCAAACACGACGGCACGATGAGCTTCCTATTGTAAGTTCTGCGCTCGAAATCGACTTTCCCTTTGAAGCCTGCAAAAAGAACGTTTGTGACTCCTCGCTAGATTCGTTGTCGTAAAGGAATATTAATGAAATTTGGACATTAAAAACGGCATTGTTCACTAGGTTTTTCTCGGAAAATCGATGTGTCATCGACAATTTGCATTATGGAATAATAAATCACTCCTTCAAAGGATTCGTTCGTATTCAAAGATTGACAGGCCCCTACGGATAACCAATTCGGGTTCTTGACCTACACATGAATTCATATGTGTGATGCGTCGATACTTTTCTAAAAATACATCGCTCCTTTTTCATTTTTCCTTACAAGTTTTAGATCTAAATGAAATTACTATTTTGATATGGGTATTATCCTTGAAGCTAGATATATTCAAGCTTTATACTTAGGCACTAAACTTTTCTTGAATGTGAATTGGACAGTCTTCTTTAACAGTGCAATGGTTTTTCAGTGGAAGCAGATCTTCAAAAACATTTAAGCCAAAGAAAAATATCCCTGAGGGGACACATCAGTATGATCTCATGAAACATGCTGCTGCCACTCTTGGCTCTGGTAATCTGCGGCTCGCTGTTATGTTGCCTGAAGGAGAGGATCTCAATGAATGGGTCGCTGTTAATAGTAAGTGGATCGTGATATAAAAAATCAGATATTTTAATTGACAGGAATATAATATTATTTCATTATGTTGCAAGTATAATAGTCTATTATATATTCTTTTGTTTCCCTAGCTGTTGATTTCTTCAATCAGATTAACATGTTATATGGTACTATTACGGAGTTCTGCACAGAAGAAAGTTGTCCAATAATGTCAGCAGGACCAAAGTACGAATATCACTGGGCTGATGGTCATACTGTCAAGAAACCAATCAAGTGTTCTGCACCCAAGTACATTGATTACCTTATGACATGGGTACAAGATCAGCTGGATGATGAAACATTGTTTCCTTCCAAAATTGGTAAGCATCAAATATCAATTAATGTATCATCTTTTACAAGACACATTAGAAATAAAACTTCTGTTTTTTCCATACAGGAGTACCATTCCCTAAAAATTTCCTTTCAATCGCCAAAACAATATTGAAGCGATTATTCAGGGTATACGCCCATATTTATCATCAGCACTTCAGCCAGGTGGTTCAACTTGGTGAGGAGGCTCACCTAAACACGTCGTTCAAGCACTTCATTTTCTTCGTTCAGGTAACGCAATATTTTTCTATTATTTTTTTTGGTCCCGCAGTAGGCAACTACGTCGCACGTCGTGAAAGACAAAAAAGAGATAGACACCAATGCGAAGAAACATAATTTCACCGGAATTCTAACGGAAAGTTGTTTTTCACAGGAGTTCAATCTGATAGATAGACGAGAATTAGCTCCTTTACAGGAGCTAATAGAAAAGTTGACTGCAAAGGACGCGCGATGAACACTCTCTTCTCCTACTCCAATCTGTGAAACTCCTCCAAAGAATCTCATCTGCGCTATTTCCGCTAATTACTATATAATTACGTGTATTATTTAACTAATCGTACCATCGCTAATTGAGCTTCGTTGCGAGCCATAGATCCTTGTTATTCGTATTCTCTTGCTGATGTAGCTGTGCCGTATCGAAGCGCGGTCACGAATTTCGTGAATGTCCCGAAATACGTCGTTCTGTCCGTTTAATCTTGCAAGAAAACAATAATGGCCGCCGGAAGCAAATGGAACTAACAAACGGACAGAACGTCATGATGTAAATTTTTGTTAGATTTATTGTTTGCAAGATCGACTCGATTCTCGATAATTTACCCACAGTTTTCACTCTGAGATGAAATGAGAAAGAGTTTTACCGCGTTGCCGAAATTCGTTATTTATTTGACATTAGGAAGTTCCATATCTCTTGAAGTCGAGTTGACTTTTCTTCTCGGTGATTCACTCGTAACTGCTTGACGCTCAGCACGTGTATACGAAGAAAAATTATTCCGTGATCCCTGTGGCAGTTTCACATTCGATATATCGTCATATCATGACCGATTAGACGCGCTGTTCAAAGTAACCCCTATCTCGTATGCTTTGCTTCCGATAAAGACAAAATAATTATAAAGAATACAAGGAAGCTTCGTAGGAGTTTCCACTGTCGTAAAAACCATAAAAATTACCTCCTCTCTACCATAGCAACCAATATTTATGCTTTCAATAATAGAATCGCGGGTCGTTTTCTACACTTAGTTTGTATCTGAGAGTCACACAAAATAATGGAAAGTAACTGGAAACTTAAAAGAAAAAAGGGGGAAATACAAGTAGTCGTATAATGACGCGATATTAAGTATCTTACGTCATTAGATGCAGGCGAGGGAGAGAGTGATTAACTGACGGAACGATGCACTGTCAATGATTAATAATGATGACACATAAACTGTCAATTCTGAGATGTCGCACTGCACCTGGTATGTAAGGGTATTAGTCTAACGTTATTTTACTACTCAGCTATTTTACCATTATTATAATATCATCGTATTAAGCGCTTATTAGAATTATAATTCCGCTTGTTCACTCGAATTGTGAGTAAATTATAAAATCCAGCACAGAGAACTTCTCCTGGCACCAGCCGCCCTCGGTTCGTTACGTTAATACGTGCAGTCTGTCGGTACGTGTGCTCCATTTGGTTTACTCGGCGAAGCACGATAAAAGCAGGGCTGCCGAATGATAATTGTACTAACGGCACGGAAAGCTACGCGGCACGTGCTACGTAGATTGGCGCGTAATGCACAAGAAAGAGATGAAAAACAGAAAAAGAGGAAGTAGAGGGGAAGGTGGCCAGCCGTTGGCTCCTCGCCAGTCGCGAGTACGAAGGAAACGCGTGAAAGTGCTAGCGCGAAGACACATAGATTGTGACTCGTGCGGTACGTTAAAAAATTAATGAGATGAACTTAATGAGATGTTTTCATGTATATCGTCGTTACGGTTGTCACTGTATACCGTAACAATTTTTGTATATATGCAATGATTCGTTTTTGTAATGACTCTCCGTAAGTGCGTATATTAGGGTGAACTGTTTGGTGTTGAATCTTCGAAAGAACGAAAGAGGGAATGAACTGATGGCAACGTGTGGCGGAGAAGAAAGAGAAAAAGAGAACGAGTGAAAGGGAGAAACAATATGAGAAGCGAGATATCTACGCGATTTATGGATTTAATCGCGTGCGCTGGACAAGACTCGGGAGCTTCTCCATGGTGCGCGCCACAGGTTCGAATATATATATTTGACATTTAGCGAGCATAAGGATACATACATATATTTTATATTAAGTATTTACAGGATAAGAAAAAGGATATTTGAATGATGGATGAAGAAAAAAAAAGAATGTTCATACGCGTCAATACGCATGGATAAGCAATACGTAGACGACGCAGGCCATTTTTGCGATTTTTGCGATTTTTATATCATTCTTTGATTTTACAGCAGACACCTTTCACAGGCATGCTCTCTCTTTTCTTTTTGACTTCTCATCGGCCAGGATCAAGCATCAAGCAGTTTTTTCCCGTGAATTATACATTACGGCTATAGTGAATTAGTATCTCGCGATATAAATAATAAAATGGAGCTCTTGGGCGTGGTCATCGACAACAGGTGAATGACAATGAAAACGAAAAATGGCAGAAGACATATTAACCCGCGCAATAGGTGTAAACGTAATGCTAATGTAACTGCACACCGATTACTATAGTGTATTCAGTACTTAAGAAGGATCGGCCGTTCGTCGCTACCGGATAGAGCGTTTTGCGTTTTATCTTCCGTTAGATAAAGAAATAAATAATAACAGTATCCACACAGTCACCTGGTCCCTGCGAGCTCAGTCATGCCCGCGGATCCTTTTCGCAAGGCTCACTAGAGTAAACACAATCGCCAGCAGGGAATCACTTATATATTAGCGCCTGTGTAGATGCATCTCACACTTACGATCAGTTGCATCCGTTTGTAAAAATTAATTAATAGCCGTCATCGGATTTTTAATAGATTTATAATTAATTCTTTCACGGCTCTAATTGCACGAAATGAAAAAAATCCATGGCATTTTATTTTTATCTCGTTCTTGTGCGACGTTAAATACATACTTATACAATTCAAGCTACTGCTCTCGATACGTTTTAGCAACGTATCCATATAAACATGGCCGAAGGATTATGTGGCTGCGTGTTCGTATTACATAAATATTTGTCCTTCGTGCGAATGGAGCTGTGGAGAGTAAAGAGGAGAATTGCTCAATGCGTTCGACCGAGCACGATGCCAGCCGACGTGTCTCTGTCGAACGATTGGCAATTTTTTTATTTTAGACTTAAGTTTCAAAAGTCATGACAATTTTATTCGAGATTCTCTGTATTCGAATTTTGACTTTGATCCTTTTAGTCGGCCGAGTACAGGATCTCTTGTTTTAATACGATTCGACAGGACCAAATTGAAAATATTCGACGCGGCCTTGGATCAATGTAATTCGAAAGAGGTAGTTCTGTCGTGATTACAAAAAATATAATACTTTTTCACTGGTGCCTCTTGAGGTCTGATTTTCAATTTGTGAATGCGACCGATGAGCGAGAATCAGGATCCAAGACAGTTGTCTCTCTCTCTCCTTTTGGCAAATCATGTTTTCTTAACTCTCTAGCAATTCTAGTGATATAACTGTGCAATGTAAATAGTATTTTTCTCAAATAAAGGAATACTTGATGTAATTACAAGAAACGCGATCGATCGATCGTCGTAATTAGCTATATGAATGTATACGGATGACGTATTATTTGTTTAGGATTCTGGCACGCGGAATATTTTCGTATGACGCTGGTTTTGTATATGCGTGCACACGTGCTACGATCGCCGCGATTGCAATTCGTTAAAATATTGGGCCAATCGATTCTGTAACCTGTAAGCAATATTAATCGATACGCCTGAGTATTGCGAGCCTTTTGTTACTTTGCGAGAAATTAATAAATGATCCAAGATCAGCCTGCCAGTCCCTCATTGTCAATCGAAGACTTTTTCAGCGAGAAAAACGACGTTCAGATTCCAGTCCAATTGAATAATTGTCTACCGGCACAGCGTCGCCTGCGCCGGTTTCTATAGGCGCGACCGTAGAGTCGTCGATTCGGGCATAAGGACGACGCAAGGCCGCACGTGGAGAAGCGGCCGAATTTATTCCAGGACAATTCTCGAATCGGATAGAGACGAAAGAGACGCTTGGGTTTCCACGGCGGACAACAGCAGTCGTAAATATCATTCCTCGTCGCTTCCTCACAATCCACGTCAGAGTTTCTGCGGTCATCTACGAAATTTTCTTGCTGGTTTTGGTAACAGTGCCAGCACTCGAAATTACTCCTCGGTATATATTTTCTTTCCTTCTGACAGAGGAGCAGGCGCCGGCAGAAATCGAAGAATTTCTTTTCTGGTACTTTCTCACAAAACTGATGTTCACCGCGACAAGGCTCTAGGTTAGAATTTTTAGTATTGTTATCTTCATTGCTGGACAGGCTTGTTATCGAATCGTGTAAATTCTGTTGCGCTTTTAATTGGGATCGACAATCTTGACAATCACCACAGGACATGATTGAATTTGGAATACTTTTTTTGGAGATTTCAAATATCGTTTAAAAATTTTTTAATAAATACTAGTATGATACCGAAATATAAATTTGATGCTTGGTTGCGCTACACAGCGCGAAATTGTCGCGAATGAACATCACTTATAAAACAAGCTGATAACCGATAGATAAAAAATATAAAAAATATTAATATTTGACAACCCCGTTTTTGAAAAATAAATTTTGGACGCTAACCAAATTTCAATGATTCTTAACAATTTGAAATTAATGTAATTACACAGTGCTCTGCATTTCGTATGGATTATTTTACAAAACTTCTAGATTAGTTAGCGAAGCATTAGAATAAATTATTAGTCTCCAAGTTATTTTTAAATGTAACAAGGAAAGAGAAAATGTATGCGCCTTACGACGTGTACAATTTTTGCGATTTGTGCCAATCAGCTTGTCTCGGGAACGAAGTCGAAATAGTGCGAAAACGCACTGCCGATCTTCGTAAAAAGGTAATAATGAGGAAAATAAAAAAAAAATTTTAATTCCTCCTATGCATTGCGAAAGGTAAAACTCTTGGAGGGTGACATAATAAATGATGCTGACGATTGCGGACCCATTTTCACGATTGCGACGGGCGAATCCTCTTACAATTTAAAAAGCCCGCCGAAAACGGTACCTCCTTGCAATTACCAGGTTTACCCAGTCACTGTGCCAGGATGTCATTTCTCCCAGTGCATTCACTCTGGAGCTGCCTCCTATTCGATTGCTCCTGAAATATTTGATCTTGATGACAAAGATGCAATCGCTAAATCAGGTGAGTCACTAATCCTAATAAATGAAAAATCTAACCGTAAAAGATGCGCTGAACGGTTCCGAAGCGAGTACAGGATGCTCGAGGGACAGATCGCTGGAAAATTTGAAAAGCCAAATAAAGGAAAAGGACGTTCGAGTGAAGACTATCAGCTGCGGGACACTCTTGGATCAGAATTCATCGAATGATAATGCAACGAAAACATCAACGGAGTGTAAAGAAATGATGCAGCTTTGTACCGCACTGATAAACGAATTGCGCGAGGCGAGGACAGACTTGACGACTATTGTGAATAAATGTTTAAAAGATCGTTCGAATATCGATAACGTCAGTACATCCTCCAGCAAGGCCGACGAAAAGGTGGTCACTGGCAAAGCAGAACATTCGCGAGAGATCGAACGGAAAAAAAGTTCGAGCAAAATGTCAAAGTGTAGAGAAAAGAAGAAATGGGGGAAAATAAAGAAGGATGAAAAATTAACGGTAGACGATAAGATCGATCCACATGCAACAGAGGATAAGAAGGTTCATGCCAATATAGAATCATTAATGCTAAAGTAGCTTGCAATTAGATAAATCGTTATTTAGCTTGCGAGACCGGAAGTTTTGGCAACACTGGTCGATTGCCTAGAGACTATGAAGAGTCGATCGGAATGCACGTCGGTGGTCGAAGAATTGATCGATCGGCTGGAAAATAAAATTATTATAAAAAGAGCATGCGACTGTTCTTCGGATATTAGACACAATGATGTCAAGTCTTTCAAGCAGAATGTTGAAAATTCACCCTCCTCCTCTTATCAACGTGTAATCTTGTTGTATTATCCTTCCTGCTGATATTTATGTCGCCAACATTTTTTTAACTGACATTCCTTTAGACCGCAAACTGCCCGCTCGTCCAATTTCGTGAAGACAATAGCACGAATGAGAATACGGTTCAAGAAGCGGCAGATCATCATAAGAACAAAATAAGTGAGAAGGAATTCCAGACGCAAAAGGATCATTTGAAAAAACTCGAAAACGGTAAGTATTTCCCTGTGGTACATTCTTGTGCGAACTTTCTTAAATGCCTATGAATATCATTCTAGATTCAGGTGAAACTAAAAATGTTGCTGAAAGAGCCAATATATCTTCGACCGTCAAGAATTCCTTCATGAATGAAACTGTGGAAAAATCGGCTGAAAATAAAAAGGTCTTTAACTATCAAGAGAGTTACGGTGGATGCTGTTGCAGTGGTAACAGACAGCCTTATTGCACGTGCGGATCACATCCCGAGCCCCCTTGTGGTACTAAGGCTTTGACAGTAATCAAGAAGTGTACTCAAAAGACAGATAAAAAAGGCAAACAACCAAAAGAGAGCAAATCGACAACTAGGAAACGACCGTGCTTTCATATTTGGCCAGAAAACACGCGATGCTTAAAACGATGTCCAAATCGATCATAACTAAATTAAAATCTTATATATCATCTATTAATTTTTTGGACAAAACAATTCATTCACGTAATTATTATAAAATCAGAAACTTGTCAAATATTTTATAGTCCTTTATCTCTGTCGACAAAAAGCTTTAAAGAGTTTGCCAAGTCTGCTTCTCTGTCTTCCTGTTTCGTTTTTTCTTATTTTATCGTCCTTCGAAAAATTTTGAGAACAGCCGGGACACTTTCCATTTACAAGTTTTGAATTTTCCCGCTCCGGAATATCCTCTAACCAGCTCCGTCTTTGGGACTTGAGGTTTACGGAAAATTCCTAAGAAATATGGAGCATGTCGAGTAAGTCAAACGCATGATAATTTTTTTTTAACTTACTCTGAATTGACTACCATCTCCCACACAATGTTCATTGTCTTTACAGAGCATGGTTAGGAGTCTCTGTATTTCGGATTTATGGTGACAGATCTGTTGAATTATTGAATCGCAGCCATCGGTCCGTTCATTTTGAAAATCCAACGAATTTCGAGCTCCATCCAAATCTTCCGACGAATACGGATCGACCATTAAATTTTCTTCGAGTTGCTGCATCTGTTACACATTCACAAAGCTTTAAGAACTTTTTCATCTCTCGCAAAGTAAATTCCTTATCACCTGTTCTTCCAAAAAATTCGTACGACACACCACATCTTTGACAGCTTCTAATATCCGTGGGGGATAGCAGCAGCCTTTACTTTTCTTTTCAATCATTGTCGATACATCTTGATGCGACATCGTGCCTAATTTTATTGTGCTGGACCAATTAACCTAGTATAACTTACGTGAGATTTTAATTAAATCAATCCGTGACACATTTAAAAATAATAAATTTTCAGTTTTCATATTCATAATCCTACGCTAACGTCATACATTCATTCGAATTCGATTATCTTCTACCTTCACGTTTATAAAGTTCATTCGTATATTTCTCTTACGTCAATGCACTGACCAAATTATTTCTTTAGGAATAGAAATATTCATTGCTGTCCTTTTTTACTGGCCCAAAAAAACAACCACAAAATCTCCTGCCCTTACATTGGTTTTGTCTTCTAGCGTAATTCGTGTTTCGCCTAATTCGAGTCCTTCTACTATTTGTACAATTTGGTCCAATTGTCGAAGGATACAAACGAATCACTTGATAAGGCGATGCTGGATATTCAGGATGATAAGAATAATTTAGAGAATCATTCCCCTCTGTTTATTTATTTCTTTTATTGTCTGATCCTGTCTCTAATGTTATCCAATTATAATATAGAAAACTATGAGAAATAAATAAGTTACTTTCACGTGAAGATTCTGACTCCCGATTATCGTCCAGCTTGTAGAAGGTACTGTGAAAGGTGTGCAATGTTATCACTATTCATTTTGTCATTCAAAAAGTCTTTTTAATCTCACTTGTCCCTGCTGTCATTTACAAGATCAGGAAAGTTAATGGATTCCATGGAGGTTTCCTTATCTAGACTGTTTTTGGTACTGTATTCAATTTTTGTTGGTACTGGCTATATAAAAATATCTAAAGTGAGTACATGATTTTAATAACATTAATTTTCTAAATACTTACAGCCAAGATATATTTTACTTTCAATGATTCTATCGATTCGATCAATTGATTTTGAGTTTTCTTAAGTTCTGAGATTAATTCTTCCACATTAAATTTTCTACATAAATGGCAAGAATCTGTTTTTTCATAAATTTCCATAGTTCTAAAGTACCGACAATTTGGCATTGATTGATTAGTTTGTACGTATATTTAAATTTATAAAAAACATAAGGTCGGAATATTATATTATTCCTGAGTCAAAGAAGAAACTTCGCGTTATACATTGTACTGGGTGCTGCCGAAATGTCATTTCAAATTTGCGGCTTTTTTCCATTTAGCCATTTTTGAAAAAAGGCCATGCTTCTTTTTGATTCCGCGACTCGATCTTCCGCACTCATCACCCCATACGGAAATCCACTTTCGGGGAGGACTTGATTCGGTACTTTCTTTCTCTTCTCTTATATCTTTTATCATTTTCTCGAGAATTGACGACGGTGGAGGATTTTCTAGAAGCTACCAGAATATGAAACAGGTTAAATCTTCGATCGACCAACCTTATAAATCCACATGCTGTTATTTAGCCCAAACACACCATATGCTGAATGCCGCTCTGAACATGCACGTTTAGGTGATACGTTTGGGCTGAATAACCCGGTAGAGTCTTACCAATTTAGCTGTACGAATTTCTGCATTAATACAATCGATTCTTCTTTTGATGTCATACCGATTTTTTGTTTCTAAAAAATACTGCTGGTTTTCATACTGTTCTCTTTGACATCCTTCAAACTTATTTACCATTTCAACGTCTCTCAATGGACCTTTTGGACTATTTACACAAATAAATGGAACTTTCTTCTGCCCGAAAATGTTCTTAGCTCCACAATTATCTTTTTGATGATCATTCGACAAATCCAGAAACTGTATTTGCATTTCATCGATCATTGACATAAATTCTTCTATCTTTTTCAATTCTTCAATTTGATTTTTAAATTCTTTCTGAATCTGTCCTACCAAGTGATTAGGAATTACCTGCGGACCCGTTTTATAGTATATTTTTTGTAGGTAAATACATAAAGTATTATTGAACATTTACCATTTTCTGATTGTTCATGATTTCAATTTTTTGAAGGTTAGGAAATTCGATTGACTAGTTGTGAACGGTTTTCTATTTATTTGCGATATTTACCAGCAGAACTCGTGACTAACGAAGAATACTATACGATTTATTACACATAATTACTCTTATCAGCCTAGGTTCATGGAAATTGAATTTATTCAAAATACTTGTAATTTAATGCATGGCAACTAGACTTTTCACTCATACGAATTTACACCGTATACTTTTTCTTATTTTTATTAGCGAAGCGTTTAATGAAAAAAGCACGACGATTACAAGCATTATCCTGCAATATTTTATTTTTAGAATTTCCTTTCTTCTTATGAGTCTCAGAATCGGAGGCTTCATTCTATAGATATAGAACCAAACCACGTTAGATATTATACGCAGCCAAAAAAATTACCAAAATCTTTCACCATAAAACGCTCAAGGAAAATTCCACGGACGGCGGACATAACCGCATACATTTCTTTTCTTTGCATTTTCAATTCTTCAAGAATACGTTTTGCAAATTCCACTGGCTCTGAATCGTTGAACAGACTTATAACATACATATATATGGTATGGTTCTTTACTTGTGATACATTGAACTTAACTATTGAATTAAAACCTCATGATAGTTTTGTCTAGAGGATACCTTGGCCATACGATTGTAAGAATATTATTCTCTGCTGAAGCTTTCGAACACGTTCGGTAGATTCCAGAAGCATTTTTATCACAGTACAATTTGGACAATCTAAACGTTCCGTTTTATTTGTAATATTTACTTTAGCATTATCCATTTTTGATAATCGGCCATTCAACTTTTATTAATGACGCTTGTGAATGTCCGTAACGGATTCGACAAATATTGGGCAGGATTACGAGATCCTTCTTTTCGAGTAATTTTTTATGACACGAAGTACACTTAGTATCGATTTGGTTTCGATTATCACAATTTATTCGGAAAAGCTAAAAATCACAGTAAATATTGACTACAGTCCGCAATTGACCATCGCATAAACTTCTCCCACCTCACGACAAGCGCACTCCTCAGAGTTACAAGGCCGTTTCAAGCAATTCGGTGATATGCAGCATCCTTCCAATCTTTCGGAGCAGTCTTGCAATTTTTTCTTCTTACAAGACGTCTTTGTCTCCATATTATCCTCTCCCTGTACCACGTGGCCCAAACGTCTTTGCAATTGATTTTTTATCGTGGCCGGAATCGGTTCTTGTCCAATGTTTATTAATTTGTTCGTATCGGCTGCACACTTTAGCACCTACGATGAAAATGTATACTTTGAAATAATAGATTGAATAATAAGTAAGAACACAAAGAGTAAAGATGACTAATGAAGTTTTTGATAATTTATCAGAAATTATGCTTACCTCGCTGTTGGCCATTTCCAAGCGTTCCGACATTTGTCGACACATCTCCATACACTCTTTATGGTAGGTCAGTACTTCCGAAAGCTGTTTCTTCGAAGTTTTTCGCAGGCATAGAAGCTTTTTCAGAACTTGGCTGTACTCCTCATAGTCCGTGTATTCATCAGGAGTATGTTCCTGCAATTGATCTCGCGAATGGTCCAGGACAGAATTACTCGTAAGCATTTTGAATTGCGAATCATGCGACGTTATACGAAAACTTTTGAATCTGTACGTATCGATCTATTTCTGACAAGTGAAAATATCTCGAAATCCTGTCGCGTCTTATTCGCGATGCCGATTGGTCGTCGCTGTCGTCACACGACGCGTGCGAGTCTGCAGCATCCAGTCAATTTGTTAGACTTTATAAATTATATATATGAAATAATTTTTCGATCCTTTATACTCGACAAACCCAATATTGCACGTAACGCGCACATCGCGACTAATGTGTGTGTTACATGCGATACGAAGTCTCCGTGTTTAATTTTAAAAAATCATAATGACCTTGGACTTGGGTGATTCGCGGAAAGGAGGAATGAAAATTAATGAATTGCAGGAACATCGAAGAAGTTGCTTGAAAGTAGGTTGCATGAAATTTTAATCCTACCGAAGATATTTGTATTTCAATATTATGAATAGTCAAGGGATCTTTTTTTACAGCGCAGACAAACCTGCCTGCGCAAGAATTCTTCGAGGAAAGTCCAGAGGCAGGATTTGGATTTTATTGAACGTGAATTGCAAGAACAAGACACGCTCGTAGAGAACCTGAACGCCGTACTCAAGGGATGCAAAGAGAAATGTCAAAGAATCAATGAGAAAGTCAACGAACTTATTCGAGAGGTAAAATGGGGAATTTGATAAATATTTGATCCTGCTACATCGGAATTCGGCAGGTGAGGAAAGTGAAGCTACAGCAGGAGTTTTATCAAATTAATTATTTAAATCTCTTCGAACGTCGTCCACTTAGACATCGAGATGTCAATGCCAGTCCATATCCAGAGGTCATTATACCATTTTTTAATTAATCTTTTTCTCTAGCACTAGTTACTCATACATGTATTGAGTTCAGGTACTAATGCCATGTCCAATATTTCAAAAATTTTTGAATTCCGAGAGTATTACGGAAAGTTTATCGAATTCTATAGAAGTTCATAGGAAGAAGGAAAAATCACAGATTTTATTGCTGCAAAATAGAATTCCTGACGGTTACGTAACTATGTTGCCGACTCGGGATGAACGTAAGAATTTATATAATCCCATTTTTCAGTGAACGGACAGAGTTAATGATTAATTTATATTTTTCGATAGCCGCGTTACATCCAGTCGCGTTCAAAGCATCCAGGCCAAAACCGCAGAGGAGTTTGGAAGAAAAATTAGCAATAGATAAGAATTATCGTTGCCTGTCTTGTCCTTCGAAATTCTCGAAATAATATTTCAGTCAAATACACATAAAAACAATAGTGGTCCACTTCTTGAAATATTAACATGACTTTTTTTGTTTAACGATTCTGAAATAGTGCGTAAAGACGATAAATTTGGAGACGTAACGGCAAAGCATAAATTTAAAAACGACAGACGCAGAACTATGAAAATTGAAGTTTCCGTGAAGATGGAGGATAATAGACACCCAGTCACAATAGTGAAAAAATCTGAAGAGAAATTTGAAAACGGTAAAAAATCGTCCAGAAGAGGAAAATGGAAAACTCGTAAAATTTTACATGGAGCAGAAGATCAAGATGAGCAGAGGGCATCGAAGCTGCTACCATTTGGAGTTGATACCGGGACCCGAATTTCTAGACCCGAATTCAAATCTATTCGAGACAGAATCCAGAAGAGGTTGGATGCTGTGACGAATCTTAATTTGGAATGGGAGATTTGTAGAAACATGTGTACAAGCATTAACCACAATTTAGACGTGGCTATAAAAGAGGTACAGACTCTAGAATTCATTCTGATTTTGATGAAATTTATTTAGATTATTTTCAGCTGACCGAAATTCGCCAACACCAAAGAGACTACGGACATGCTTATAAATACATCTTCAAGGGAGTTCTACCGCCGAGAAACACTTTCCAGACGTGCAAACTTCAAATGTCTGAAAGACTTTCGAAGACTTTTAAATGTTGTAATCCCAAGGGTAAATATCAATAAGAACATAACCAATCATCTGATGTCTAGACAGGATTCTTTACTCTTCTAGTTACAGGTATCCACCATTATCGTGACAAAACGATACGAATACGATTTGGTAGCTACTAAAATTTCAATCTATTTACAGATATACAAAAAGAACTAAACATTACGATTCGAGAAGCCTTGCCACGTGGCTGAGCCATGTAGGTCGAGGACAGCCACCACTTAACGAGATCGATTATGATTAATTCACAATCTCATAAAATGTAATCTGACAATCTATCGAATCTTGCAGATTGTCCTAACACGAAACTAATCGATATGGTCAAGACTTCAAAATGGTTCCTCTCTGTCAACTGTAATTGTATCTAAAGCTAAGCTCGGCCTGTGCAAATCATCGACTCGGTGTAGAAAATCAAAATCTTACAAAAAATGTGAAAAACTCTCTGTGTACGTTGAAAGTATGAATTTATTATACACAAAATTGTTCTCGCAGTAAATGGCAGCTCATTTTAGTAAGGTTAAATAAATAGTACGAATTCCATATAATGAGAAGTATGGAATGACCGAATTCGGTAAGGATGGGAAATGGTAACAGGAAACCACGGTGTTCCGGGCATTTTAATCATTTCGTTCGTTTCCTTCCTCTTGAATCGTCGCGCGACGACTGTCAAAAAATATTAACTAGTTTCTTGTACGAAAACGAGAAACTCTCCGATAAACATCTCCGAAAGGCGCCAACGAGTCTAGGAGAAATCAGCTTTAAGAATGACGTCCCGTTTAAAAATAAATCTGTGGATTTTCCAAACAGAACGACAGAAGATAATGAAAAGGAAGAACCAACTCAAGAGGAAACGATCCGCGATTACTTGTACTCCTTTCTCCCAGCATCCTGGCCCAAGGAATGGGACATACTGAAAGACGAGGAACGTCCGTGTCCCTGCAACTGTCCCTGTAAATTGTCGACTCTTTACGAATTGCCCAATTTAGAAAATTTATCTAACCCAGATGCGTCTATATACGTAAAACCAAAAAAGAAGTCACTAATAAATAGAAAATCGAGGCGACTGCACGCGAGGAGGAAAAATTTACTTATCTCACTCTGACTTCCTATTAAATTCCAACTTCTCATCGTGGAAGATTTTCCTGAACATTACAATTATTTTTAGATATTAATTTATTATGAATTTTATATCAAGTTTATAAAAAAGAAGGTAATGCAAACTTATTTAAAGTTCAATGCGTGCGCGGCAGCGGTAGCGTTTATGATACAGGGTGGTGTAAATCGAACGAATCTTATGGTATTGATCACATTAATATAAGTCGAGGAAATAGTAATGACAACGCCAAGAATGACGATGCAATATCCAAACCAATCCACGGCGGAGTAAAGATCGCAATCGGGTCTTGATCTAGGAGCGTCGTTAACGTTCCTCGAACGTCGAGCTCTCAAAGGTCTGGCCGCATCGGCGTCATCGCTGGCGCCGGTGTCGTCACGAAGTCTTTGTTGAGTAAGAAGGAGATCATTGGGACTATCCGAGTCCCCAGTTACTTCGTCGTAATCCGTACATTCACTGGATTGATCATTATCATAGTAAACATATGAGTAACGATTACGACTGACTTTCGTGTCCAGAAATCCATAGTAAACCGACTGAGAGTGAACTCTTGGATCCGTCACGACATCCAAACCTTGACCAGGTAGCCTCTCCGAAGCCGAGTAAATCTCAGGCGTCGCTGAATGCGTACCGGAAGCGGAAAGTGCTTTGACACGAGCATATATCAATGGCGGCAGAAGAAAAACAAGAGGTCCAGTAAGAGTTCCGCCGATAAGGGCCATCACAATGTCAAATCGTGGAACTGATTCACCTACGGCAACTCCCAGGAACACAACAGCTGATCGAATGGCGCATCGCTTCCAGCCAAAAGCTGCAAACCGGATATAGAAAAAGACAGCACAGTATGTTTTTGTATTGAATACATTTTTTGTTAATGCCCTACATGATATACTTACATCTCTGGACGCGTAGTTGGTCTTCCAGATGAAGAAATAGGGCCGAGTGTCCCACTGCGCTGGACAAGCATAGCTGAAGGGCAGCCAACAAAATTGCTGCACTGAGAGTAATTCCGGTTGGGACCGACTGAAGAATATTTGCTGTGGTACTCCCGCCGTATTTCCATACTGCCAAACCAGCAGTGATACCGAACAAGGATCCGCTGACTGAAGTGATGTTGATTTAGCAAGAGTGCCAAGTAATGATCAATCGTAGTTTACCTAGGAAGGCAAGAAGAACGGCCTTCTGGATTTCTTTGGGCCTTCTCATGTCCACTTGAATAGTCATCAAGGTTGGGTGGACGTCAAATTGAAAAGCCAACATACCATACCTGCAATGTATTGAGTTACATGAACCTTCCTCTAATTTTTTTCTATAAGAATTGCTTAAGTGAAGATAAAAATTACGCTGAAACGAATTTGTCCCATGAAGGTGTACTTGGTATGGCCTGGACCTTCGAAGGGTTCACATCCGATATTATGCACCACCAGATGAGTAAAGCCGTGAGAGTCACTACTAAGCAGGAACAAGACGCCAGCCATCTCGAGAGGAAAGAAATTTGTGGTTTATTACTGCTGACCAAAGACTAAGGAACTTATATAAAGTGTCTTACTTCATGTCTCGAGGACTCCCGAGCCACATTATGGGACATAGCAATACACCTACTATCAGCAACCAGTAACAGTAAGAAAGGTCAAATTCGCGTTGGGACACTTTAAGACCAAAAAGCTGTAAATTCTGCGACGCTGCAATAACCCATTAATGGAACAAGTATCTTAGGAAATTTTTTGAAATCGGAGATGTTCCCAACGCACCTACGAGCAAGTTTGGTATACCACCTCCAAACACAGTGAGATCCAAAAGCACAGTGACACACGTTCGCGCTAATGGACCCAGGGTGAACTCCGTCACGGCCGCAAGAGGATAGCTGAAGGGGTTGAAAATGTAAAAAGCTCCGAGAAGGAGAAAGCATGACTAATGAAAGTGTCGAACCGATTTTTTCTTGAAATGTTTGGATCCAATGCTGTGGCGATAGTCCAAGACTTGCCGAGTAGCGCAGCTGTATATATTTGAAGTCCAAGGACAACAAGGACCAAAGGTATTCCGAGCCATCCTAAAGAATTTGAAATAGCTAAGAACATGCCTATGAAATAATAATAGTGACTAATTAGCTGAGTCGTCACTTAATCGAAGGCTTCTCGGAAAGAAAATCATAAGTAAAGCACAAGAGAAATAACTTGAGAGACTTACCGCACTGAATGATAGCCCGCGGCAAAGCGATGATCGGGAAGACGCCAAAGATGTCAACGATGCAGAGTGTCGCGAAACAAACGGAAAGACCCGAATGCGCTTTCTTATATAGAAGAGAAATATTCTCTCTGTTCATGATCCCTCGCTCACTACACTACAACGCATCTATTCGTACTGGTGAACATTGGTAAAAAAAAAAGTAACGTGCAACCGGTTCCCTCGTTGCTCATGTAACACGATACTATTGAACAGTGAGGATAGAAAAAGATGGTGGGAGTACAGACGAAGACTTACAACGACGTACTACACGACTACATGGGAGCCTCAGGATGGAGAGACCTGTACTACGTGTAATTGAGAATCTAAATACGTATACGATGCATATCGTATACAAATCGTAGATCTCGATTGGGGAGATGGAGGTTATACAGATATTCTTACAATATAATTATCATTGATACGATTATCGGTGGCGATGACTCAGACACTGGATTAAATATCTTACATGCTATTATATTTAGTACATTCGTTATCTTGGTTTACAAAATTTTATATTGGAAATGTATCGTGACTTAACAATAGAGCAATTTTACACTTTTCTAATCTTAACAATAGAAAATGTGAACTTAAAATAGTAAAGTTGATACGTGGATGGTAATACTCCCGGGAAACAATAAGACGCTTCTCCTCGGGCGAAGCTTAATCATCTGTTTCGTAGGCTGGTGAGGCTGGCGAATAGGTAGGACTAGTCGGTGAATAGCCTGGGACAGGTGGTGAATAAGTCGGACTAGTCGGAGAGTAATTTGGACTTGTTGGTGTATATGTGGGACTGGTTGGCGAGTACTTTGTACTTGATGGTGAGTACTGAGGACTGGATGGCGAATACGTGGGACTTGTTGGTGAGTAGTTGGGACTACTTGGCGAGTATCTCGTACTTCCTGCTGCCGTGTGTTGCGGTGAGCTAGGCGAGTACGATGGACTTGTCGGAGAATATGTTGGACTCGTTGGAGAGTACGTTGGACTGGCTGGTGTGTACTGTGGTGAAGTACTAGCGAATGAAGGAGATGTGGGCGAGTAGCTCGGACTCGTCGGTGAATATTTCGGACTACTTGGCGAGTAGCTTGGACTTGCAGGTGAGTACTGTGGAGAACTTGGCGAATACGATGGACTGGTAGGCGAGTAAGATGGCGAGGCCGGAGTGTAATTTGGTGAACTTGGCGAATAGCTCGGACTCGTTGGTGAATAGCTCGGACTTGTAGGCGAGTAACTAGGACTCGTCGGAGAATAACTAGGACTTGTAGGCGAATAGCTAGGACTCGTAGGCGAGTAGCTTGGACTCGTGGGTGAGTAGCTTGGACTCGTCGGCGAGTAACTAGGACTTGTCGGTGAGTAACTTGGACTCGTTGGAGAATAGCTTGGACTGGTTGGCGAGTAACTTGGACTCGTCGGTGAGTAACTTGGACTCGTGGGAGAATAGCTGGGACTCGTTGGAGAATAACTGGGACTCGTAGGAGAGTAGCTAGGACTCGTTGGCGAGTAGCTAGGACTCGTAGGTGAGTAGTTTGGACTTGTAGGTGAATAGGTGGGACTGGTAGGTGAATAGTTCGGACTCGATGGTGTCATACTCGGCGATGTGGGCAGAAAAGCCGGCGAGGTCGGCGAATAGCTCGGAGATGCACCACCCGCTGGCGACATTGGATATGGACTCATACTTGGTCCTGGACTTCCAGGACTTCCCGGCTGCGGCGAATAGGCTGAATATGCTGGAGACAATCCAGAGGCATCCGATGCCCCGGAAGGCGAAAAGCAGGCACCGCCAGGTGTCATACCGCTACCCAAAGCTGTTGCACGTAAATAGCACAAATAAATACCATGCAAAGAAATAAACAATATCGTATTATGAAATATTCATTACTTACCCGGAGACATACTAGATGCACCGTAACCAGGCGTGGCACCCATCTGATTCCATGGCGTCATTTGTGGACTCATGCTTGGCGTTTGGGCATTACCGAAGAACATTCCAGCACCACCCATAACTCCAGCACCGACGGCCATTGGTATTTCAATACCCGCCTTACATTTCTCAGCGTCCAGTAACAAATCAAAGCACCCTGTAAGCAAATGAGTCATTTGATACCAATGCTTAACCATGAAAAACATTAACGATTGACATACCTGTTCCAATTCGTGGTAATTGTCCCATAATGATGTTCTCGGAAACGCCTCTCATTGGATCAACTTCTGCGTGAGACGCAGCGTCTAATAAAACGTCGACAGTTTCCTCGAAAGAACATCTAAACAATAATTAGTACAGGCTATAGTATCTTTCAGGAAGTTTCGATAAAGCAACGTTGATACTAATTACAAATCATTTTTTAGCAACCGAGTCTCGTATGCTCCTGTCCACTCACCTCATAAGCGCTCCTGTGTCCTGCCTGTTGATTCCGTGACGTGTGATAGCCATAAGATGACCTTTAGCAGTCATAACGTCACAAAGCAAAGCAAGATGTCGATAATTTACGTAAAGACCGTAGAACTGTAAGACAGCATTCATTTCCTTCTCCACGGATTTTCGTACAGCCTCGATTCCCAGTACTTGGAATATCTCGCAAATGTCGTTGCTGAAGGTTCTCACCGGATCAACGTCGCGTTCGCTCAAAACTTTCATCAAGCTGGTTCCATCAGTTTCTAATAGCCATTCGGCAATAGCTTTAAACTCTCCAGTGTCGGTAATGACGATTCGCTTCTTTGCATCTGTCTGTGGCAAATGCATGTAGACTTTGCCGATAGCCTCGATACCCTGAAATTCACAATTTTCATTACTATCATTCTTGTATCAGAAAAAAGAAAGGAGTAGTAGATATGAAAATCAATGATACTTACTTGAAGCGTCATGTCACTCAACATATTAGCTTCGATACATCTCAGAAACATGTCATCCTCCATCTTGTCAACCGTTTCTTCTTCTGTATCTTGGAATTTGGTGTCATCGCTGTTCATTATTCTGATACGCAATACCAACTTCTCAGCGTTATCGTCATTAAATATACAGTTCAAGTCATCACCGAAACCGGCATTGATTTTTTCCGCAATTTGCTCCATAGTCAATTTCTTATCAGTCATCCTCTTACGATCCAATTCTATACGCAGAAGCCAAGGCGATATCTTCGTAGGATCAAAGTCGGGCATCTCGTAGTAAACATTTACGAATTCCTGATCTTCCGCAATGACAGTATTCTGCGGATCCGGATCATAATAGATGGCCGTGTTGGCTGTCACTTTCCTCAGGGTCGTGTGTTCCAGACGACAGAGAACGTTCTTCGCTTTTTCAGCGTCTCTGGCAGCGGCGCCAGTTAGGAAGACAGTAAGTGATGGGGCCTTAGGTTTCTTACTAATATTTATGATTTCCTTGAGCCTGGGTACACCCAATGTTACGTTCTTCGACGAGACACCAGCAAAGTGGAAAGTGTTGAGTGTCATCTGGGTGGCAGGCTCACCAAGAGATTGAGCTGCCAAGGCACCCACCATTTCTCCTGGCGACACCTGTGCTTGCTGGAATCTTGTTTCAATCTCTCCGATGAGCCACTCGAATGCTTCACTGGATAATCGGAATTCCTCGGAGACGCACTTGGTGCAGAGAGTGGATCTCACTAGACACTGGAATAAAAGAGTAGCGTTCTCATTGGCCTGCTTACTCAGTCTGTCCTCACCAGCCACGATGATGCACTTTTCCAGCAGATCCTTGACACCCTGTATGACACGCATTGGACTCAAGTCCGTGGGAGCCCTCTTGTTGATGTGGAAAATCTTTTGCACGTTCCAAATCATTCTCTGCAAGTTGCAGGGAAGTACGACCTTCGATTCCCCACTTGGGAAAATTTCACGAAGAACTGCACGATCCTTGTTCAACTGTTCCCACTCTCGTTCCAATTCCGAGATGACTTCTCCGGACCCCATCATCTCGCGAACGATGTCCTCGCTGAAGATACGTCGAAGGTAGCGCTCGTTGGTTGGATCAAATTTGAATTTCTTCTCAAATGCTTTGTTGCTCAACTTAATAGTTGGTAAATTTTGGAATTCAACGGTCTCGCCGCACAGACCGTCCTCGCCATAACGCAATTGAATGAGTTGGCCGACAGAATTCCTTACGGTTCCATCGTAGTGCACCATCACTGACTCCATAGCCTTTATCAGACGACGTTGAATGTATCCAGTCTCGGCAGTCTTTACGGCGGTATCGATGAGACCTTCGCGACCTCCCATCGCGTGAAAATAAAATTCGGACGGCGTGAGGCCGGCGAGATACGAATTCTCAACGAATCCTCTGGACTCGGGACCGTAATCGTCCTTGATGAAATGTGGCAAAGTGCGTTTTCGAAAACCGAAAGGAATTCGTTTACCTTCTACGTTCTGTTGACCGACACAAGCGATAACCTGAGAGATATTAATGTTCGATCCTTTGGAACCTGAGACCACCATGGCTTTCAAATTGTTGTATTCCGTGAGTGACTTCTTGGCGGAGCCTCCGGTCTTATCACGAGCGTCGTTCAGGATCCTGTTTACCTGATTTTCGAAGGTCTGCCTTAGTGTGTTACCCGGTGTCGGTTCCAGCTCCATATTGTGTGCCTTTTGAATAACTTCTATCACGTCTTCTTTGGCTTTCTTAATGGCTTTCTGAATCTCCAAATAGGTCTGAGGGTCAGCAATGGTGTCACCGATACCGATAGAATGTCCCTCCAATAGAAGCCAGTTGTTAATTACAGTCTGAATATTTCCGTAAAATCGGCCGCAAACATCATGTCCAAGCTCGAGCATACAAATGTGAAGCAAAGATCCGGCGGAAGTTCCCAAAGTCTTCTTACACAGAATGCCCATAACCAATTCACCGTGCTCTACCATTACTTTTGTATCTCCCGGTGAAATCCACTTGTAAGGACCTTCGTCTTCCTCGTCAGGATGTGTACTGTGAGTCCGGATCATGTTCACGTTTCCGGGAATAATCAATGAGAATATCTGTTTTCCCGTCCACAGAGGTTTTGGCTTTAGAATGCAAGGCTGCGGCATTTTTCCATCCCAACTCGGCAAGAACATGAGAATATTCATCATCTGTTCCTTCTCTATGAAGACGTCACGTTTTGTCATTTTTCTAACAGCTGTCAGCGTATCCTGCACGATACCCATGACGGGTTTGTTTGCCTGCGGAGTGATAATCTGACGCGGTGTCACATGAATGTTCTCGACTTCCGCACGCGTCTCCATCGATTGTGGAACGTGCAGGTTCATTTCGTCTCCGTCGAAGTCCGCGTTGTACGGTGACGTACAACTGAGATTCATTCGGAATGTACTCCAAGGAAGAACCTTCACTCTGTGACCCATCATACTCATCTTGTGAAGAGTCGGCTGACGATTGAATATCACCAGATCGCCATCCCTTATATGTCTTTCTACTCTATAGCCGCACTGCAAGTGCAAATCGGATGGTTTCGGATGAAATCTTAAATCTATTCTCTCTCCGTTGTCTCTCACAATATATTTCGCTCCAGGATATTGTGAGTTTCCTCTGCGAACGAGTTCTTGCATTTTATCAATATTAAAAGGTGTCACGATTTCTGGAAAGGTTAGATTTTGTGCGATGCTGCGTGGTACACCAACTTGATCGATTCGCAGATTGGGATCCGGTGTGATAACTGTACGTGCGGAGAAATCGACACGTTTCCCCATGAGGTTTCCTCGTATCCGACCTTCCTTACCCTTCAATCTAGATTTTATGGCCTTTAATGGTTTCCCAGATTTTTGCATAGCTCTTGGCATTCCTGGCATATCATTGTCCACCAATGTTGCGACGTGAAACTGCAGCATTTTAATGTTTTCGGAAATTACGTGAGCAGCTGCACCAGCCTGCTCGTTCCTCAGGAGTTCATTATTCGACTTGATGATATCCGACAATTTGTGAGTCAAGTCGTCCTGATTCTTTGCTGAGCCATACATGATAACAGCAGGTCGTACCGAAAGTGGTGGCACTGGCAATACAGTTACAACCATCCAGTCTGGACGAGCAAATTTTGGATCCATACCAAGGATGAATGACTCCTCATCGGTAATGTGCTTCAGGATCTCCCATGCCCTTTCAGCAGTAAGAACTATCTTTTTCTCCTGAGAGTCTTCATTCACATGTTTCCATTCAGCTGAAACATCTAAGCCTGACCTTCTCAAGTTTGGTTGATATCGACCACATCCACCATGACCAGGTTTTCTCTCAGCTGTCTGTATCTCCTGTCCTTCTTTATTTATGTCCATTTCATCGCCACCCTCACAAATATTTTTACTTTTGCACAAGTCATATACAAATGTGAGTCGTTTGCGTGGTTGTCCCTTTGTCTTCATTACAATTTCCTTAATTTTTGCATTGTGCTGTGGAATAGCAGAACATGTTTTTATATTTATGTTGGATTTCAGATGACCACAAGAATAGTCTATAGAGTTGCTGCTAATAAGTACTTTTTAAACACAATTGTACTTACGGGACTGACAAGCAGTTTGGAACAATAGAAGCAAACGCATCTAAGAATTTTTATGCTCTTTGTGATAAATCCCACATGAAAGACAGGTTTGGCTAGATCTATATGGCCAAAGTGCCCTGGGCACTCGGTCATGTTGCCAGCACATGTCTGACATCGTGAATTTCTATCAATGACACCTTGCCTTGGATCCATAAGTCCTCCAAGCTTAGGACGACCACCTTCCATGGTCTCTGGGAAACGTATGCCGCCATCGGTAACTGACATGCGACGCTGAAAATACAACGTATCATTACGTTAATACTACTATAAACATTTGATCTCAAAAATTGTTCCAGTGTATTCACTTTAAAATCACTCCAAACTTTCTTTCGTTGTCATTGCTATATAAGTATTACATTTTCGGGCGATTACTTTAATGTTGAAGTTTCTAACAAGACATCTTTTCCCTCTCGAAAAGGAACCATCCGGACTTTTTTTCTCAAGCACAATAAAGTGAAGAGAAAGCGATAGTTTTGATTCAATTTACATACTTTTCATATTGTGCAAATAGAATTGTGGCACGAGAACAATCAAAATAGATGAAAAACCAAATTCCTCGGTTAATGATAATCATCCATTGAATGAAAAAGGTGAAGGGGTCGCGATATGGGAAATGCAGTAATCTAGTTTACAGCACTAGTGAAGGTAGTGGGTATGAAAATAACATTGTAATCATTCTAACTACTGTATTCACTATTTACTCACTATTTCATCTGGAGAAAGGATCCCAAACTGCACTCTTTTCACTGTTCGTATAGGGGCTTTCGAGTCGGACGTGGCCATTTTGCGAGAGTCCGTAGCCTTCTGTGGCCTTCTGCGTCGCGACCCGCTCGGACTGCTACTGTTATCCCTATATCATCTGCAAGATCCAGCAAGGGCGCTAGTGTCGCCCGATTGCAGCACCGTAGTGATCAACATGAGAAACATAAAACTGAATTTTCGTAAATGGAAAGCATTCTGACTGATTCTGACATTTTCTTTAATTACTTTGTAAGAAAACAATTACTGATACTTTTAAAGTCAACTTAACTCCTTTGGGTTTTGTGTTATCACAAAAAGATTCCTTTATGTCAGATATGTATAAAGTTTATCTTGAACGATCCATTAGTATAATGGCGCCACCATCAATATATGTCCGTGACGATATCTTTTTTTTTCTCTTAAAAACACTTAAAAGTGTAAACGAAACCTGTAACAAGTTAACCGGGCACTTTTACCTTTTTTATTTTTTGGTTTTACTAATCGTTTGTTGGTGATTGGTAGCATAATTAAAAATTTGGTTGGTAATAGTTTTTCTGGAATATTAAAAACAAATTGTTCGATAAGGGGGTAAATTGACGCGAGATCTTTTGGTAGTTACGAATAGCTTAGTTAATAAGTTTGGTGGTCATCAGTGGTCATTGGTTATGCTGCGTGGATGAAAAACCGAGTGATTGCGCATGCGTACAAATAGGCTCCTCCGATACTAGCGCTTCGTATATCGAACTAAAATCAGAAATCCCAAACAGTACGTCCATTTTCGCTGAGTGTTCAGACGTGTATATAAGAGCATGTAATGGCTACCTCCAAAACTACAAACACTTACAACAGGCAAAATTGGGAGGATGCCGTAAGTGAATTACCCGACTATTTTTAGTGTCATATTTCTACACTATGCACAATCAAACAATCTAATTTTCATATTATTTGTTCCAGGAATTCCCAATATTGTGTCAAACTTGTTTAGGAGACAATCCATATATTCGTATGGTATGCAGCTTAAAAATCATATATTTTTATTAATACTTAAAAAGTTACAAGATTTAACTGTTGTAATTTTAATAATTTTCATCAATTTTTCTGCAGACAAAAGAACGATATGGAAAGGAGTGTAAAATCTGCATGCGGCCATTTACAGTCTTTAGATGGTGTCCAGGTGCTAGAATGCGTTTCAAGAAGACTGAAGTCTGTCAAACATGCAGTCGTTTGAAAAATGTCTGTCAAACCTGTCTGCTAGACTTGGAATATGGATTACCTATTCAAGTCCGTGATGCAGCACTGAAGATCAAGGATGATCTGCCACGGTCAGATGTGAACAAAGAATATTATGTACAGAATATTGATAATGAAATAGGCAAGATCGATGCCACAACACCTGCTGGAGCAGTTGGAAAGTCAGCAGCAGCTAGTGACCTCTTAATGAAATTGGCAAGAACTAGTCCATATTACAAAAGAAACAGACCACACATTTGTTCATTTTGGGTAAAAGGCGAGTGTAAAAGAGGTGAAGAGTGTCCCTACCGTCACGAGAAACCGACGGATCCTGACGATCCTCTGGCTGATCAAAATATCAAGGATCGTTATTATGGTGTTAATGATCCTGTAGCTGACAAGTTAATGCGAAGAGCAGCTGCAATGCCAAAGCTTGATCCACCAGAGGATAAATCCATCACGACCTTGTATATTGGGAATCTTGGAGACATTCTTACTGAGAAACAATTACGTGACCATTTTTATCAATATGGAGAGATTCGATCAGTGACTATGGTTCCACGTCAGCAATGTGCATTTATTCAGTACACGCAAAGAAGTGCTGCAGAAGCAGCTGCTGAAAGAACATTCAACAAATTGATACTTGGTGGAAGACGTTTGACCATCAAGTGGGGTCGCTCTCAGGGTCGACAAACAGTATCTGCTGCTGAGGCAACAAGGGAAATGCTCGAACCAGTCCCTGGTTTACCTGGGGCCTTACCACCACCTCCTGAGACCATGGGAAATAATTTCTTCAACTTGCAAGCCACTCCAGGAATGATGCCACCAATGATAATCCCACCACCACCAGTAGCACCGCAATTTATGTTTCCTCCACAGATGACAGCGGCTGCTCCAATATTTCCTCCAGGAACCACACCTATCCATTATCCAAGTCAGGATCCATCAAGAATGGGCGCCACGCAGGGTATCGGAAAACCGTGGCCCGAAGAAGATTAATGCAATTTAATTTTGCGTTCATTGACCAATTAGGCGACGGTTTTCCAATCTTAATATTTAAGTTGTGTTTTTCTTTGTAAGTTAAAAATCTTATTAAAGACAAGCAGTTGTCACTCAAGTGATGTGTCCAGTCATTCTACTTAAAATTTATGATCATAATATAAGATTACGAAAATAATACTTTCTAAATGACGTAAATCTCCACAGAACATTGGAAATGTCATTACGTTTATCAACTAAAAAGGCGCAAAACGACTAATTTATAGAGATCCTCGAAGCTTCTCTATTTTCTCGTAACAATGCAGTGGCGCTGTATTAGCACCGCAATAGTTTCGAGAAGGGACTTGTGACAAAGCATCCATTGCATCCATCCGATGTTGACTGTTAATGAATAATTCGCTCTTTCGTAATCTGTCAAATTACAATAATATTGTGAAAATACATGGAATGATACAAGAAATAGTAAGTATCTCCTTTTGTACCGATTTCTTAATGGTCTTTTATGTAACTCTTTTTGTAGTTTAATTTAACCAATATATCACATGGCTCGTAATATGCAAAATTAAAAAATTCTTCAGTTTTCAACATCTTTTATTTTAAACCTAATTGATTGAGCGGATTCATGATTATGTGGCAATATAATATTTTTTTGAATAAAACGTGAAAATTTTAACGTTTTCTATTCTATAATGAAATGACTTTGTTACATGATGGAGGGACATGCAACTATTTTTTTTGCACTACGCGATTCATTCTATAAATACTCTATTTCGTAATTGCATGGACAATCTTCCTTCTCGACCGAAATTGATGGTCCGTACTTCTTGCATAGTTGTGTTTAACATAGTTGAATGCACGTAAACAGAGACCTGAAGATACTTGTAGAGTAGTATAGGCAGTGAATTGCAGAATGTGTAGTATAATTTTTTTTTTTTTATAAAATGTGTAGTATAATAAATATACATCTGTGACAACAAATGAAGAAATTCTGGGATTCCCTGACCTAATTCATCTTCATGTTATTTACAAAAGCGTTTCATTATTAAGTAGCATAAATTACTAACTTGGTTTTATTTGTATATTTAATAGAACATCCTTCTATTAGGGATAGATAGTTAAACAATGTTCAGCACATGGTTAGGAGGTGATGACCGTCATTGTGGCAAAGATACTAATCAGACTCTGAAAATAGACGAAGCATGTTTGAGTATCATCAATGAAAATTCACAGCCCATCATATTATCTTCCATTGTCGAAGAATGTTACATGGTATGTATGAATAAATTTATAGAAGTTATATATATAATGCATAGATATAAATTTATTATAAACTAATTTGTCCTCTTTTCTGTATAGTGTGATCTATTACCATGGACTAATTTATCATCAAATAGTAATATCTCTCTGGTAGTAGGTACTAAGTATCCCTTACTGGTATCATATACAGATAATATTAATTCAGGAAGGTAATTATTCACAACAACGCTGATACATAATTGGTTCTCTTAACATTATTTTTTTGCAAATCTTTTTTACAGTGAGAAATTAGTTTTTAAAGAGCATGGTCATTATGGATGGACCATAACGGATGATGGTCACTCTGGTTTATATACATTGTATGATCCACCAAACCAATATCGTCGTAAGTTAATGTTTATTTATTTTTGGATATGTTGACTTGATTATAATTGTGTATTTCATTTTTAGCATTTTTGGTAGTCTTCACGATATGCGTGCTTGCAGCATTACTGTATGCTGTTTCATTTACTTTACTACGCTCCTTAAGAAAAATTAGTTTACGAGAACACAGTGACATTCAAGATGTAAGTCTATACTTAAAACAAATACAAATTTGTACTAACTCTTAGTTTTGAATAATGTATTTATAATTGTGTATCATTCTAGGATTTGGGAAGATTACAAGAAAATGAACCAGCATCACAACCACCTCCAAGGATACCATCAAAGTCAAGCACGAGACTCCATTCCGTGGATGCGTTCCGAGGGTATGTTCTAGTATTTTGTTAATTTATACTGCATTAGTTACTCATTTATTTTTCTTTCGTTCTAGAATATGCATACTGCTAATGATTTTTGTAAACAATGGCGGTGGAAAATATGTTATTTTTAATCACAGCTTGTGGAACGGATTAACAATCGCCGATCTTGTGCTACCTTGGTAATATATCATATTGAACCTTTAAACTTTGGAACATCAAAAACTTCAAACGAATCAAGGAAAATTGCAAACTTTATTTTAGGTTCGCGTGGATAATGGGCTTTACGATAGTCATATCGTTGCGTACCCAACTCCGAATATCAGTATCACGCGGAAGAATCATTTTGCACTGTCTACGTCGATCATTGATTCTCATACTTCTTGGACTGATTATTAACTCAAAACACAACTATTCGTTAAAGAATCTTCGATTTCCCGGTGTTCTGCAATTATTGGGTGTATCGTATTTCATCTGCGCGACGATCGAGACGATTTTCATGAAAGCCCAACGAAGTTACCACGTTAGTGATTTAAATTGCGACAAATATTCTGCGATAAGAGAAAACGTTCCATTATGTTTTTTTAATCTTAACTTTACAGCCAGGCCGATTTATGTTCTTGCAAGATATCTGGGAGAATTGGGCTCAGTGGTTAATCGTTATGGGTATCGTAACGATACATACATTGATAACATTTCTACTACCCGTTCCGGGATGCCCAACCGGCTACTTGGGTCCAGGAGGTTACCATTTTTTGGGGAAATATCCAAATTGCACAGGGGGTGCCATAGGATACATTGACAGACTAGTTTTTGGTAACCACGTTTATAATAAGACAGAAAATCCAGTTTATGGACACCTTGCCCCACACGACCCTGAAGGTTGGAATTCAAAATGCTTATGTCGTTAGTAATTTTTCGGTATGTAACAATGCATTGTATTTACTTCTAGGTTTAATGAACATCTTATCGGCGGTACTTTTAGTCTATATGGGAGTGCAAGCCGGCCGAATAGCTCTGTTTTATTATAACTTGAATTCAAAAGTAATTCGATGGTTAGTTTGGGCTGCTATAACGGTAAGTAATCATTCCTGGAACATCCATTGTTAACTGTATTAAAATGTGGTCATTCATATTTTGTTTTTATACAGGGTATTGTCGCTGGAGCTTTGTGCAACTTCAGTAAAGAAAATGGTGTTATACCCGTAAATAAGAATATGATGTCGCTTTCTTACGTTTTAACAATGTCTAGCTTTGCCTTGATTCTGTTTTCTATACTTTATTACTTGATTGACTATCGACGATTCTGGTCAGGCGTACCTTTCATTTATGCAGGTAATTAACCCACTCGTAGTAAGAGACTTAGCATTTATACTATTTGCAGTTTGTGTAATGTTTTAATCTTGCAGGCGTAAATCCTATATTTCTCTATGTTGGCCATTATCTTACTATGGACCTCTTTCCGTGGTCATGGACAATAAGTGGAGTGCCCAGTCACACTTCATATTTACTTATGAATTTTTGGACTACGGTACTTTGGGCAATAATCGCTTATGGCCTTTACAAGAAAGATATTATCATAACTATATAAAGCACGGAAGACAAATGTGATGCTAAAGGGAATGAACAACAAGAATTCCGAAATATGCAAAAATAGATTCATTTAGGATGAGATGCGCGTATTCCATAAAAATAAAGCGCACAGTGTTTTCAAGACTAAGATATATTGACTGCAGTATTTTAACGTATCTACTTTGTAATTTCATTCGATTCTCAGTTCTTTGATATGATATAAATCATGTTAGTGTTAGTTGGGTATACGTAATGACATAAAATATCCAAGTTTTAGCATCATTAGCCACTTTTCAATGACTTCTTAAAACCTGCATTTTTCGGAACATGTTCTAGTTATGTAGTTCAATTAAAAATATAGCTTATCTAAAATATTTTCAATTACAGAATTTACAATAGGATATTTTATATAACTTGAGATAAAAAGAAACTCATGGCTGTAAACATAGTTGATATATTAACCTATTAAGTTACAAAATTATAATTACATAGTTTAAATAGATATATATTCTTGGTTAAAGCATAAACATATGTATATTGTTACGCTTTTGTGTAAAAGTGTACGCACGGTATGGTTATACTAACACATTACTAAGTACATAGGTTTTTTTAAAATATAACTGATAATTTGCTTAAATGTAAGCAAGGAAATATATAACTTTGGTAATTTGAAACGTCGCCGTTATTGTTTCATATTAAGTGAATCTTATTATTGGTAAAAAGTGGTGATTGACAAATATTTAGGAATCTCGATCTTTGGGATCTTTATATGGCAAACCTAATGTCTTAAAAATATCTTCTTCGCTTGAAACATTTATAACTTCTCCAGGATTGCCTTGAGCGTTAAGTCGTCTCAAAGTATACTCATTCAATGTATATTTACGTTCCAGTGCATGTGCTCGCATATTTTTGTTAAACATATCACTTCCAGTGAAGTAAAGTACTGCACAATAGTACTGATCATGAGGTACCAATCTTATATCCAATCGTCGATGCGGTAATTCTTTGTTTGATGGAAGTTGACAAACACCCTATGTATATATATATAAAATTTATATTTAAATTAAGCAGGTATTGCATTTGAATCATAGCACAGTAAAGACAAACCATAAATTTTGTTTCTCCAAGAGAAATTCTGTCTGTTATCAAATTCTTTTCTTCAAGCATTTCAACAACATCTTTGAGCAGTGTACACTTTTTTTTAGATTCTTTTTCAGTACTTGTGTAATTGGCATGAGTAATTAATACATCAATATCTCCACTTGTTTCTTTTGCCCGTCTATAACTTCCACAGATTGTAACAATGTATCCTTTATCACCAATGGTCTCAGATATAAGTTTTTCTATACTTTGAATCTCATGTCTAGGGATCCTTTTTTCAAAATCATCGAAGTATCTGAAATAGTATGACATTATAGAAAAAAAAGACCAGAGACAATATTATAATATAATACTTTAAACCAATCCTTTGATGATGTGTTAGCCTTTCTAGAATTTGTTTAAGATCTTCTATAGTTTTGACACCACTATTAACTAATTCCTTTGCTTTCGATGGTCCAATACCAGAGACTCTTGTCAACAAATTAATAGCAATGTTATTTTCATCCTTGTTAATCTGAAATTATGCAAGATATACAAATTAATTTTGCCTTATTATAAAAAAAAATGGGATATATATTTAGTACTTCTTCCAGTTTGCGTAGCTTTCCAGTTTCTAGAAACTCATCTATCTTTTTGGCAATTTTTTCTCCAATACCAGGTAATTTTTTAGCTTCTTCACCGCTTTTAACTCTTTGAGGAAGTGCGCTCAAGCTACTAGCCGCTTTTCGATATGCATTATATTTGTAAACATTTTTGCTTACATTACGTTCATAGTTAGCAAGTTCTGAAAAAAAGTTAAAATAGAGTAGTAATAGAATGATTTGAAAAATTAGCTAGTAATAATATATTAATATTATAAAAAATTGACATATAACATAATATAATGTAACAACATTTATACGTACGCTGAAATAAAAATCATTTTTGATGCGCAATACTTGGTTAATTCAGAATTACCTGTAAGAAACTCGCAGAGATCATAATTTGGATTACTTGAACTGCTCGGAGCTTTCCTTTTACTCATCTTCACTTGAATTTATGACGATTCGTGACGACCAGTGACGATTATCTCCAAATAATTTTTTTCTTCGTTTTACAGGATTTTACGCCAGTGTGTATTTACGTCTCTCTACTCTCTATGCTCAGTGGCGTAGTCCACGTGTCATAATACAATTACTTCTTGTTGTCTTCTTCGGTTTGCTTCAGTTCCTTCAGTTGCTTTAGAACATGGCGGTTAATACACAAGAGAATAATTTAAAAAGGAAGCTGGTGGAACATGGAAGTGAGTCGGATGAAGAAAATGATAGTAAGTATTACAAATATCTTTGAAAGAAATTTATGAAGCAGTGATATAAGATAATATGCTTTAGGCAAAAGAACTTGCATAACAAATGCATAATATAGTTCCCATTGAGGTTACTTTCTTGGTTTTAACCGGCTTCTTTCTATTTTGTTTTTCAAATAACTATTTTCTCATTCATAAAGTTAATTGTATTATAAAATATGTAAAGAACATTGATTTAGTAATTGTGTTTATTTCAGAGAATGGTAAAACAGTGAAATACAGGATGGATGCTCCACGCTTATGTCCTTACCTGGATACCATCAATCGTCAATTTCTGGATTTTGATTTTGAAAAATTGTGTTCCGTTTCTCTCTCTAGAATTAATGTGTATGCATGTCTTGTATGCGGTAAATATTTTCAGGGTAGAGGAACCAACACGTATGCCTATACTCACAGTGTGGCTGAAAGCCATCATGTTTTTCTGAATCTTCATACATTGAAATTCTACTGTCTACCAGATAATTATGAAATTGTTGGTATGTGGAAAGCATGAATTGTACATCTATAATTTTTAACATTCCACCAGCTTTCGATAATAATCAATCAATTTACAGATTCATCACTGGATGATATTAAATATGTTCTAAATCCAACGTTTGATAGATTTCAAATTACTCAACTTGATAAGAGTGACAAACTTTCTAGAGCCATTGATGGCTCCATGTATTCTCCAGGTATTGTAGGTTTAAATAACATCAAAGCCAACGATTACTGCAACGTTATTTTACAGGTAATATTCACGAATACGATAAATAAGAGAAACAAGGGAAAAAATCTGTTCCTTTTTAAATTCACAGGCTTTGTCACACGTTACACCATTAAGAGACTTTTTTTTACGTGAATCAAATTACTCTCATGTGAAGAGGCCACCGGGAGATTCATCCTATTTATTAGTTCAAAGATTTGGAGAGCTTATGCGAAAATTGTGGAATCCAAGAAATTTTAAGGCTCACGTTAGTCCACACGAGATGCTCCAGGCAGTCGTTTTGTGGAGCAAAAAGCGATTTCAATTTACAGAGCAAGGTTACTTAATTATTTCAATTTTAAGGAAAATTAAAATAGAACAGAAATGAGTATCTATCTGTTATTATTTAGGTGATCCTGTCGATTTCCTCTCTTGGTTCTTAAACGCTTTGCATTTGGCACTCAATGGCACTAAAAAACGAGATTCTAGTATAATCTACAAAACGTTCTTGGGTCACATGCGGATATACACTCGTAAGATTCCTCCTCTTGAGTTAGAAGAGAGTCAGAGAAGTGAATTACTCAATACAGTGGAATATGGCGAAACGGTCACTGAGAGTCCATTTTTGTATTTAACGTGCGACCTTCCACCACCACCACTGTTTAAAGACCAGTTTACCGAAAATATCATTCCACAGGTGAATATTAGGCTTTTTCTTGACGCGGAGAGTAATAATTTATACTTTACACAAATTTAGGTCAACCTATATACATTACTGAACAAGTTTAACGCTGTGGCCGAAAAAGAATATAAAACTTACAAGGAGAATTTCATGAAACGTTTTGAAATCACCGAATTACCGCCATATCTCATACTTTATATAAAGGTATAATTTTGTGTAGTGCTTTGTTATATATATATATATAGATTGCCTATAGACCAGACAACCCTTAACACATTTTTGTTTCCAGAGATTCACAAAAAATACATTTTTTGTTGAGAAGAATCCTACCATAGTAAACTTCCCGGTTAAGTAAGTTTCTTGTGTGAATATTTTAGTATTATTCTTAACACTAAACGTATTATCGACGGGTCATTTGACACTTAAAACCAAAATGAGGTTTCTAAAAAGTTGGTAGGTTTAGTGTTAATAATTCGGTATATTTTTATCAGAAACGTAGATTTTGGTGACATTTTGACATCCGAAGTAAAAGCAAAACATCCGTATACGACTTACGACTTGGTGGCTAATATCGTACATGATGGTGAACCTGGTCAAGGTACGTACAGAGTTCACATACTGCATAGAGCAACTGGTCAGTGGTATGAAATGCAAGATTTACACGTGACACAGATTCTACCTCAAATGATCACTTTAACGGAAGCATACATTCAGGTAAGCATATTATGTGGCTGTCACTTCCAAGAATAGTTAACAGAGAACAGAGCGTTATTTAGCAGTTTAACTTTGTTTCAGATTTACGAATTGAGACGAGAAGAAAATGTAGAGAATGGAGACATTCAAGTGAAGCGATCCACGTGACGTTTTTCGAAGCGTACATTTATTAAATAAATAAACGAATGGATCTTTTACAGAATGTGTATCCATAATCTATGACGTTAACCCAGCACGCTTAACCCAAATACATCCGAAATTTATCCTGTGACGTTTCTCAGCACCCCACGTATTCAGATTCGCAAAAAATATAACCCGCCCACGCCTCTACCCAAATTTAGAAGTGTCAATCCTATGTCAACTCAGCAGAATCTTGTAAAAAAAAAAGAATGCATAATTCGAGAGACAAAGATATCATAGAGATCCACATCACGAGTCGACTAGCAGAATGATTATAGAACTGTTCCCTGCAGATTGGAACTTGACACGAACAGGTAGATGCAGCAGTGGATGATGTTTGATGTTATTGCCTTGGGCCTGTCGGTAACGTCCAAAGTACTGCTTGCTACTGCTGCTGTAGTACTACTATAGCTGCGACTATACTAAGGCTGTTGAAACGGGTAGACTGTTGGAAAAGATTGCACTATAGTCCGTTCGAGGAGGCCAAGAGTATGGGTGGCGTCGACGTCGGTACGGGCGCATATAAACGCCATACAGTGACTATAGGTTGCGCGACGGGATACTGGAGTCAACTGGAGTATAGTAGAATAGAGTGAGCTGGAGATATAATAGAGCAGAGCGGCGTGGTGGGTACGCATAGCAGCGTCGGGTGGTGGGAGAATAGAGCGTCGCGACGAGTCTCCTCGAGTCGAGTCGAGTCGGCTGCCGGCCACGCGAAGCGATTCTCGCCGCTCTTGAATCGCGCTCTTCGCGTTTTTATGTCTTGACATGCACGTTGTTATCTCATCGGAAGGTATCAAGTAGCCTGCGGTGACAATGGCGTAGAACATGTGTGCCGAATGAGTGTGCAGTGCCAATACGTGGATTATATCGAGAGATCGAAGAAGGAATTCTCGGCGAAAGTAAAGTAAGTAGACTCGCAATCAGAGGAGTTTTAAACTGCGCGGATGGCAAGGCACGCGCCAACCAGCCTCTCGACAGGACATCGTGTGTCTCTCTTGCACTCGGCAGCAATCCCTCTGGAAACTTATAAGAGCAAGACTGCCTGCTGGCGGTAACGGTTTTATCCAGCACAACACCTGACTACCTCGGCGATCTTCCATGGGAGACATTGGTCTTCGTGTTTTGGAGTTACTATACGTAGTGCTTGAGGAATGCGTCCCTCGTAACCGGTGTCTTTCGAAGTTCCTTTGATTCCCCTGAAGACTCGTGTCGTGGTTGGCCGTTGGCGTTACGGCAATATTTCCTCTTAGCGCTTTGAATTCCCAGTGAAGTCTCCGTGAGCCTCTGAACCCCGCGAGCCGTCGCCATCCCTTCATCCCGAATACCTGTTTCACCCGAGGACCGAAAAAACTGTTCGCTCCTGTGGCCCGCCGGAGAGCATAGGTAAACACACATCGTATTGGCAGCAAAATGACTCTTCTCAAGTTTCTACAAAAAGACAAGAAAATCGTAGAATCGCGATTTGAATCCCGTAGTCAGCTTAATACAACAATCGGTGGAGAAATGGAGAGCAGCAGCAGTAGAATAGTTAGAGGAGCAATCGAAGGATCGATCGATTCGCTTGCTATTTTCATTGCAGTCCCTGCAACCGTAAACGCAAAGGTAACGCGGGTCACGGAAGTCGGCCGGTTCAGGTTATATCGCATTGAATCAAATGTATTGGCTAAACGAATCCACGGGGAAAGTCATCTATGGCAGCGTGCAACCGCGTGGGGTAGGCTATGGTGGGGCTAAGTGGCCTCTCTCCTGAACCGCCATGGAACATAATGGGATAGAGAACGGGCCAACGGGGCAGGATGCTACGACGGGCACGATTCTCCTCCCGCTCCTCTCATTCTCATCTTCAACCTCAGTGAAGTGACTCCTCTAGCAGGTGGTAACGCCACTTTCCTATAGAAATATCTCGGAGCCATGAATGAAGAGCATGCCTTCGTATCGAAGTCAATTCGGGGAAATGAATGGGAGCCATTGAATGGGGCAATGTATTGTCGGACAGGAGCGACCGCAGGGGCGCGTCATGGACCTTTCGACCTGGAAGATGGCGGATCCTTTAATTCGCTGTATGCAAACTAGCTTGAAGTGAAAAAGTGCAAGGAAGAAGGGAGAAGTGCGATGTGGGAGGTGGCGCGGAGGCGAGGGTAACGCGGTGTAACAGCAAAGAAACACTTTTCTCTTTAGGCGGTGATTAGAAGCGGAAGGACACCGCCTCACGCGGATCGAATACAATGGCCAGGGGTACCCTCATTTACGTAATGCACGTAGACAATGCCGTCTGGCGTTCGCGCTTCGTCGCCCGAGAAATACGAAATTACGCTTCTAGCCCGCCTGCTTTCGAAACGGACTTCTCTTGTGCTTTGGCATTTCTCCATTACCTCTCCCCCATCTTTTCTTCGACCTTCATTTCCGGCAAGTCCCTTCGGCAAGTTCCGATTACTTCATATCTTTTGTCCCTTTCCTTTCTCCTTCCATTCGCTTTCAAAAACTTTGGTTAGGACGAATCAATAAGCGGAAAATGTCTGTTTGCTTTTCGCTTGTCTTCCTTTCATTTTTTCAAATCTTTTTCCGATATCAAAGGAAACAGCTGAGTTTACCGATTGGTCTGTCTTCCATGTCGAATGCTAATGGGTGGGCTGGCCGATGACGACATTAAGGAAACGCGATCGAATCGATTATAGAGTTCGTCACGCTGGGGAGAACTCGAAGGAACTCGAGAATCCGGCGCGATTCCTTTTTATGCGCATACATATGTACATCCATATACTGGGCATATATAGATACAGGTTACACGCTATATATAGATATATATCTACGTATGTCAAGTATGCACGTTTTACCTAGAGGGAGTCTAATCGGTGGCAAGGTACACAGGTAAGTCCGTGGGGGGAAAAATAGCTGCTACAAGGACGGCCTAACGGAAGTACATTTTTTTAGTTGCGTTTCAGTAATTTCCTGCCGACGGTGCACCGCGTAACAAGGCCCTCCAGCGAATATTCTCTTTTCCACTTCACCTTAACGGCTACCTTCGCCTTCGCCTTCGCCTTCGACTTCGACTTCGACTTCGACTTCGACTTCGCCTTAGCCGCCTTGTCGCTCTTATCCTTCGTCCTTGCGCTTTGCTACTCCCTTCTCCCCTCTTCACCCAACTCACCCTTCCCACGTCAAACTTCATTATTATACAATTGCTCGGATCACTGCGCAACGTTCATCCGTGTCCAATGTCCATGTAAAATGTCACATCCATCGGCCGCAAAGGGATGTTTTTAAATATTTTCTAACGAAATTTCTACTACCTTCTGCACATATGGAAACCTCGGCCTCCCCTCCCTTCCTCCTCCTGCGCCCAAATGGGAACCCGCAGCTTGCATTTTTCCGTTATAAAACGACCAACCCACACCGTCTACATGGCCCTACACGGCACTACACGGCACCACCTGTCCATCCAGCGTGGACGTCGACCAGGTTTCCATCCTTTGCTAAAGGTTCCTGGCAGCAGTTGCACTATTATGCCAGCAGTGCCAACGGAATGACCGGTAGCACCAGCAGCGCCATTAATACCATTCGCTATCTCGAACTATTCTCAGCACGTGCCAGTTCACGATTTACGTAAACTCACGCGAGCTGCAAGTCTTTCGCGGCTTGCCGCTCGATTTTACTTCGAACTCGCTCGGTCGCCATTCTCCTGACGATTTACATCGCCACGCTAGAAAAACACTGGCTCGCTGTCTTATTCGCACAACGAATATCACTGAAGCGAGAGAACTTTTAAGGAGTCGACCTTGTAGTCGACCTGCCTACTATCTACTGCTTAGCATACAACTTTTATTTGACTGTAGACTTAGAGAGCCAGTAACACCTAAAAACCGATCCCACGCATGACACGTGCGCTCGGCCTCGCGCGAATTTATCTATATACATATACACATCCATCGTACTATAGTCTACCGCCAAATTTATGTATATCAGATATAGCCGTTGGTGGGACCAAGGCGAACAGAGTCAGTATACATATAGTCATCCGACGTGTTACGCGATTACGTAATTTTTTATAATTATTATAACTCTATGCGTGCTTATTTTTCGTACTATTTATTTAATGACACCACTATGATTTACGTGGGAATATTGGGAACATACGTTCGGAATAGTCAAATGAGTGAACATCTGCGTGGAATAGCGTGAGAACGCGAAGTGAAAAAATCGAAGGGTGAAAAACAAACAAAAACAAAAAAACAAGCCTGATGTAAGTTCGCCGACGAGGATCGATTCGGATGATTTCCGGCCAGCTGATCGATTCGACGCCTTTGCGATTCCCAAATGATGATGTCACCACAAGAGAAACAACGATCGAAACATCCAAGCAGGTATAAAATCTACGTTGGTCTCTCGGGCCAGAAATTTCCGGTAAACACGTGACTGACTTCTTCCGGTCTCACGCATACCAAACTTCCTAGCCTGACCATGCGACTTCCTCGAGAGGATCCGTCAGCATGGGATATCGCGTACTACCTACCGCCGGTACAGAAAACGTGTGTGCTGTTTCCAGGACGAACCCATCGTCACTTTTCGTCCAATTTCACGGCAATTTCCTGATTTCGAGACGAATCAGTGAAGGGAAAGGATTAGCCCCGAGGGAAGCATCTCCTCTCGCGCTTCGCTCTTGGATTCCTCCTTCACTTACACCGAGACTATTACACTACGTTGTGCAATTAGGAGGGTACGTGGGTGGCAGCTCAGGGGATGATGGAAAAAAGTAAAAAGTGTCGAGCGAAGCTTCGGAGGATTTTCGTCTGGCAATTAAGGGCTGAAGAATCGATAAAATCTCGGAGAGTCAAAAAAACGAGGTGAGAGAGAGAGACAAGAATAGAGAGAGAGAGAGAGAGAGAGTAGAGGCCGATGACTTTCTCGCTTAGGTGGCAATTTCCGAGGCGCGAGGACGCATATATTCCTCCTTTAATTACTCGGTACGCGGGTGGGAATTGCTGATCGTGACGTTGCTTTTGATGCTGTCGTGGCTGTCAGTGATAGCGCAGATGACGAACCCCCTAGTTTTCTTTTTCTATAAGCTCGCGTGCCTTCTCGCCGCGAGCCTTGGGCCTCTTGGGAGAGGCGGAAGCAGGCGGAAGCAGGCGGAAGCAGGCGGAAGTGGCATTGGCTAAATATGCACGGCCACGTATACGTTCCGTTGGTTGTCGCGCGACGCTCGACGCTCGACGCTCGACGTCAATGAAGACACGTCGGATGGAATAATTATTTCTATACCCGAGTGATCGATCGGGACCGCGAGGACTGTTTCCGCACGTACATTTCCTTTTTATCTATCGCCAGCCTGACTGCTCGATGACGAATAATCACGAGAATAAAGTCTTGTCTCGTTATTTACATTACGCATAACGCAGCCGCATTATGGACAAATGAATTGAAAACACGCACGTTTTTCTGTCGCTTGATATAACACAAATTTTTTTTAGATTCCTCGATTTAACGAGAATACGGTACCTCAAATAACCAGTTATATCTGTGTCTTGTTTTCTCAACGCAAAATATGCTTCTAAAAAAACCGATACTAAATTGCTTTTCAGAAATTACATAATCGAAATACGGTACTGAGAAATCCTATCAATTTCATCGTAGGAGAAGGCAAAATACCTATATATACATATATTCGATACGGTATATTGATTTTAGGATTCCAGGCGTTCGGTTTATTCGAATTAAAAAGAAAAAAAGGAAAAAGAAAAAATTTGAAATGTGGACAAGTTCTACGCACCAAGCTACACGCACAATGGATATACACTTAGGGTAATTACGCCACGTTGCCTGCAGGTGATTCGATCGAGGGCAGGTAGACGATACATGTCTACCAGCCATATATCTACCTGGCAGAAGTCTACAGCGTTCGTGTCTAAAGGTATAAAGGTATAGATGTATAGATGTACTAAGCTCTGGTTATCGATCTAGAATTTTATACAGAATTAAACTATAGTACGCCTATCTTAGTCGCCTTAGTTAAGCGAGTAAAGGCGGAAACGAATGGTAGCGCAGTATGAAGAAGGCATCCAAGAGACACTGCGGATCAAAGATACCTGCAGCAAAACTGGAGAATGCTCTCGAGCCATTTCCGAACAGAAGCCATATACAGCATGTACTGTGGACTATAGGACTATAGGACTATAGGACTATAGGACTATAGGCACCATATGGGGAGTCCCGTGCCCGAGGCTGACATACGTTCCACCTTGAAACGCGAGACGCGCACGAAGCTTTACCGGTGCCTCCTCTTTCGATTATCCGGACGCTGTTAGGTTGTTAGATCGAGTCTCCGTTCGTTCTCGTCTTCGGCGTTTTCCCAAAATACTTGTCGCCAAATTATAATTGGCCGCTTCGAGGCCATCGCGCTATTGGACTTATCGATCGGGTTTCGCATTAGAGCATTCTGGAATTGCTTTTTTAGAGGTTAATAATATTCCCATGGTTTCTCTATTATTTCGTTGGCTTGAGTTCCTTATTGTTCGCGAAAACCGATTGCGATTTGTAAGGCTGTAAGGCAGAAGTCGGTACGGTAGACACATCGGCGTGCGATGCAAGGATCGAGAGCAAGGACTCTGCTGAACTTGCTTCGTAGCGAGTGGATCAGTCGGTGCGTAGAAACGCACGCAGTGCGTGCCACGAGTAGCTATTACGTTCCGTGGAATGCGTACGCCAGTGAAAGAGCGATAATAAGTGCGATGAGAACTATCCCACGCACTCCTCCATTATCCCACTTTTCCACTCGATGCGTGTACCGGTGTACTGGTACAGTGACAGTGCCAGCCTACAGGACCCACACTTCTCAGCTACCCTTCACCTTCTTTTTATTCACATTCGCTACGTCCCTTCGTTCTCCGCTCTTCAATCTCCTCCACGCCGACATCTTCCAGTAGAAGATAAAAAGTCCTCGGCGACTTTTCGTCTTGAAAGGGAATCGGATGCAGTCTCTTCAAAGTGCATAAGGCCTCTGCGCGCACTGGGGTCGCCCGAAGGAATGGAAGAAAGATTCTTAGCTGAATTTGACACATGCACCATCCACGTCTCCACGTGGATCTTTGTAGCTGTGCAGCAGCCGCGTGCTTCGTTGCCCCAGAGTGGCTCCTCACGGCGCAGCGCAGTAGACCAGTTCAAAGTGGCAACCGCGAGAACGAAGTGCTGTCGCTGCTTCCCGAGGGCGACTCCAGAAGTGCACACTCCTGGGGTTAAGGGATGCCAGAGTGCACCCTTGCTTTCTGGATCAAATTCTCTGCGGCGAAATAATAGCCGGCTGGGGACGGGGCGCGTCTCTCTCTCTCTCTCTCTCTCTCTCCCTCCCCTCCCCCCGCTCTACTGCTCTAAAGCTGTAAGCATATATGCGAGCGTGCATGCATGTGGGAGGATGACCGGATGACAGGATGACAGGATGACAGGATGACGGGTATGTAGGCAGGCGGCCCGGCAGGAAGGGATCGACGCGGTCCTGGAGAGAACGGGCAAAGTCGAATTAATAGATGGATGTAAAAAGTGCGTAGTTAAACGCTCCCGAGAGGGACGTGTTGCCGATCCGAGGACTAATGAGGATGTATTATGGCGCGGCTGTTCCCGTTCTGCCTTCCCGTAATGTCGGTTCTAATCTCGTTGACGAAGCTAGGCCAAGGTTCTTCCGATGGCTTCGACCTATCCGGTTTATCGACTGGACTTTGTTCTCTCTCTTTTTCCTTTATCTTCGCTCCTCTCTTTCTCTCTTTCCCTCCGCAGGTTCCACATCGATCCCTGCACTTACCCCGCGCCTACCGGCTGGGGCATTACCGTTTCGCTAATATGAACTTGCAGTGCCATTAGAAACTAGCCCTTAGCGACTGTCCAATACACGTGATAGATGAGTCATTGAAATTTGAGTCCTTCCACGCGACATCAAATATTTGCTTGCTCTTCCATCTTCTGTCTCAAGACTGAAAATCAAAGAAACGCGTCCAACTTCAGAGCAGCCGACTTTCCCATCTGTCAGAGAGAAAATGAAAAAGGTGTCGGATATTCCCGGAGAATGACATTTCGTTCCATTCGCCCTTCGCCCGGACCTTCCGGCATCCCGTCATCCGAGGAAGTTGTCTCTGTCATCTCAAAGAAGTTTGCGAGTCGTTCAATTAGGAATCGGGGACGCTTTTCCATCTGTCGCTTTCATAGAGAGGAACTCCGAGTGACCAGGACGCCTCGACCCGTCATCCAGCTACTTGATCCCGTTCCTGTTCCCGTTCCTGTTCCATGCCAATTACCATTGCCATTTAGTGGTTACGCTACTCGCGTCCAGGCATTTACGCATGATGCGTAGAATGACTTGAACCCACTGTGAGGAACCGTACAGGAAACTTCACTTGGAAGAGCAGAGGGCCGCGTGCAGAATTTTGGAGTCCTTTGTCTCACTTCGAATGTCACGCCCAGCCGACTGCACGGATTCGCTTGGTAAAAGCGCTTGGATTATTGCGCATGTTCTTCGGTTGGTTTCCACGAGTGGAGGAAAATGCTGCTCCGGAGTCCCCGTAGCTATCTGGGCTGCCGTCTGCACTGCCAGGGAAACTCTGGGAACTTACGAAACGAGTACGTTTATTACGTTCAAGTTGAAACTGGGTCAGCCGAAAGACGCTGCGACGCCCCCAGTAAAAATTGCCGGAAAGTCGTCAACGACAACATGGAAGTTCGATATCGTCGAGCCGCATTCCGTTAAATGTCAAATGTTATCGGAACCAATGTCTCCCTTTGCGAGAGGCCGAACGATTGAAGTCTAAGTTATAGTCGATCTTTGCTAGATGCTGGACAGTTTGTTAATAGCAGCGTGACTGCTGCTGCCAGAGCGTAGATTTATTTACGTGGAGCCTGAGCTATAGCGATCATCCACGAAAGTCAAGCAGTCGATCAGAAGAAACTGTTCGGGTCGGGTCGTTAATGGATTCGAAATTATAAACAGTTATAAATAAATGAGTCGCCCGATGGAGGAAGTCAAATGCTCTATGACTAAAGAATTCATGATTCGATACTTTCTGCGTCGCCGTTCCGTCCCGTAAAATAGAGTGGCCTATATCCCGGAGATATTTTTACCAGTGACTTGGTGTAACGTGCTGCGCAACACGAGGAGACGCGAGGGCAGACACGGAAAGACACGGAAAGACACGGGAAGACACGGGATCACTGCGGAATAACGAAGAACAGTCAAGTCCAGTCCGATCTGAACTTTTAGTCCCGGCGGACCAACGCGACGACAGTTTTTGACTCAGTGCTGCCAATTTCGTATTTCTATTTGAATTCGCTCAATACGCGACAAGCACACCTATTCGCGGAGCGTGCAGAAATAGAGAGGATGCCCAAGTAACGGCAGCGCTAACTTGTGCATTTGCACTCATGGCCACGTGAGTATTTAGATCCTTGGAAGTGTAAGGAAGTAAGGGTGGCCTCATCTGGGCATATAGCAGAGAACCGTAGTGGTGGTAGAGACGGCCGGTGGAGTAACGACCGTAACGAGAACTAACGATACGCTTGCACGAACCTATTACGTGGTTCGGTTCACTACTGGAGGATCCCCTCCGAAGATCGGTATCATATAGAAATAAGATCGTGAACCATGAAAAACGCTTCGGAGTCTTTCGAATGGAATATTCGTTGAGTTGAAGTGACGGCAGGTAAGAGGGGGGACTCTTCTGCCTGTTATTCTCCCTAGCCCTCTGGGATCGTGAAAGGAGCAGAAAATGCGGCAGTCAATTAATATCGAACTCTCTGCACTGTAAGATAGTACTTAACAGTTAATGGGGAGCGCGTTCTCCGCCTGAGAAACTCGAGCCGGAGAGTAGGAAGAAGAAGGAGCGGAATCAGCCGGCACTCTCTGCTGGTCCTCCGGTACGCGACCTCCACTCGCAGCTTCCAAGGTAGGTATGTGCCTCGCCTGACGTCACTTATCCAAGGTCGGGTGATGAACCGAACTCGACGAACTCGACGAACTCGACTAGCAAGCTGCGCATCAGGCGGCCCTGATGCGCGAACCCCTTAGTCTCACTCCGCTTCTATATTCTCTCTTCCCCTTTCCTGGAATTTCCTTCCTGCCCTTCGCAATCCCTACCTTTCTTTCTCAAGATACACTTCAGTTTGGTCGATATCGCCCTGGCCTTGTAGCGCCCTTAGACTTGTTTTCTTCCATTCGTCCTTTATCCCTCAGCTCCTTCCTTCGTTCCGTAGACTAGAGAGTCTCTCCGGTTCTCTCTCCTTCTTCAGCCTCGCTCCACGGTGCAGGATTTTGCGGAGACGGACTTGCCGCTTCTGAGGATTTTCAAATTCCTTCCGATTTATCGACTTTGGTTTCTCTCGTCTTACGATCGGAACGTTATGCCACTTGCCCGTTATACTCGACAGCCGGCAGACTGTCAGACTGTCAGACTGTCAGACTACCCTGTCGACTTTTCAGATGGACGTTTTCCCCCGAGACTGATTCTCCTCGATGATTTTCTGTTGCAGAGAGTCGTATTAGTTGTCGATCAGCCAATGGGACGTAGGAAAGCAGCAGGAGAGCGGAAGAGTCGGCCGATAGAAATCGCGGAGATTCATCCTCAAAAATGATGTCTCTCTCGGCACTCTCGAATGCTCTTAACGAAGACTCCAGTCCGGTTTTATTGGATTTCGTATCGACCTACAGCTAGGACATCGAGTAACGAAACTCTCACAACAGTGTCGTGCCACTTTGGAACGGTCGAGCAGAAAAGTACGATTGATGGTAAATCAGGGCTAATTTCAGTGGCGACCGGTGCGCGCGTCGGACTGCACTGCGTTTGTGGCCTGTGCACACAAGTGTATACTGAGCACACAAGAGGGCAGTTCGAGTGTTTCGGTGAAATGTGAAGAGTGCAGTGAAAGGTGAAGAGTGAAGAGTGAAGAGTGAAGAGTGAAGAGTGTGGCCCCATAGAGGATTTGGCAGTTCCGAATAATCACTTGGATACTGGTTCCCATGTCTCCTAGGAATATCGGCTGATCTTATTATACGTTAGAGTTACTCTGCGTAATTGGATTGTCGCTGGCTATTATGACGGAATACTTGGATCCGCATTTCGTCCGGGCTCTTTGCCGCGATCCAGACAGGCGAACGTTGCAGGTGAGACAACTCAACAACCTACTGTACAACGACATCCACTCTTTCCTCCATTTATACTCTTCTTTCGCCTCTGTGCACTTTTCCCCTTTCATCTCCTCTCCTTCTTTTATTCGGGCTGCGACTTTACCGAGGTTCACCTTGTTCCACGGCCCTTCGTTTATTGCTCCCTACTAATTAGCAATTACCGTGATGGCTGCCGTGAATCGTTTTCTGAATACGCGAGGCTTGCCCCGGAAGCGCACTGCATCATCCATGCCCAGGCACATCTATATACCCAGAATATACTGTAGCCTTTGCTCTTTTATACGGGGTAAGTACGATCGAAAGTTTGAAACTGCTAGAAAATTTCTTGCCGAGCGAAAATGAAAGTGCTCTTTTACATTGGGGAGGGGGGGGGGCAGTAGCTGTTTCCGGCGAATTTAACTACTCGAGACACTTATTATTTGCTTAGCCCTTACGTGGCTATGAATTTTCAGGTGAAAGTCCTAAAGTCTTTCGTAATAATAATCGAGATCTTCGACCGAATATGCCTCATCGACGTGCTGCTGAAAATCAAAGAAAGCGTTGGCACGATTTCCCCAAGTGACACCTGCGATACGCTTACATATACGATATCCGGTCCGCGACGTGTCCTGGATCCTCAGGATAATCCACGGTAGGAAATGCTGCCAAAGCATGTCTGTCTAGTTAGGTTCTCCATATACGAAGAAGAGTACATATATACTGCCGAAATTCCTGGCTCCTCCCTACCAGTTACTAATTATCAATCACTCCAACTACCAGTCTAACACCTACGATCTTCCTTCTTGTAACGGTAGATACCCGGAGAGCGAGCCTTTCGTAAATCATGCGCGACCAGCGCGTTGCGTCGCATCAACTTATTCGACACACTCGGTTTTCCCAAGATTCGAACTTATCTCACAATCACTATATATATATACATTGAACTACAGTTTTTGCCTCAAATCATTTGTTTCTTTTTAATCGCTAATCTAATTGCGCTTCGGGTCTCTTATAATGATATACAAAGCAATATGGATACATATTGGCATACGAATTACGAATACGACACTTGAACGCTTGTTAACTCGAATCCAACGAAAAGAAAATTGTAGTAATTCCTTAAATAAATCACCTCAACGCATGTACAGTTGAAACTCCAATCCGTTATCGAAGCGTCCTACGTCGTGTGCTGCCCCCAACGCGTATCGTGCGTAGTCGTTACTCCTACTCTCGGGAATTGTGCCTTGTCCCACGCGACATTGCGTGGCGCGAACGACCTTTTTCTACGGTCTCGTCCGATTCTTTGCAGGATTTGCAGATCATATACTACGGACTGCATGGACTGGAAGCCCTGCGACCCTGCAGAGACTCCATATTACGGGGACTTTGTAAGATCGTGCGGTACGAGAGACATCATGCCAACCATGTGCTGTACTAGTAAGTATAAAGCTTTTCACTCCTGTTTCTAATCGGGTAATTTAATGCGTCCTGATGAGTACATCAGTACCTTCTCACCCAACGACCGTTCAACTGGTTATCCCGTTAACCGTCAAATGCCACTGGAACTGTAGAATAGCGCTCTCTTATGCTAGACTGCTAGAAATCTGTTTTATCGGCCGCAGATTTGCGACGGTACATAACCGACTGCTCTGCAAGAGCTTAGCCGAGGAGAGAATACTCGATCGGTAACTAGCATTTCTTAGTTTCTTTTATCGAATTTTGGAGCTCTCAAGATGAAATCCAGATGCAGGAATCGTTTGAGTATTGCGAAAAACTCGATTGTCGGAGCGAACACGTGTTCGGTACGTGTGGTGGTCCGTGCGAATGTTCTTTTACCGTATGTTTCAAAATTACGAGACATCCGTAACGGATCCAGTCCTGAAAATTCAATCTTTCGTTGATCGTCTTGTATCGTTAACTAAATCCGTGAATATAGAGAAATATGAAAATAGAAATAAAAAAATAAGAACGACTAAAACCTGTTGACCTCGTGAATTTATACCGTTTGCGCTAATGAGTGGTCCTATAAAATTCTTAAATTTTTAAAAATTACAGCATATTTGCCCCAGAAGCTGCTTACCCTTGACATTTATCAATCTTTTTCACAATTCCCTCGAGTGTATTCGACATGAGATCGATTACGAAACGATTGTCAGACTCTTCCTTCCCACGAGGCAATAATTCGCAATACGTATAATCATATCCCAGTTAGGTCGACAAGCAGGCAAGTGCGCGTGTAGTGCAGGTTGCCAGCGTAACTTAGAATTGCACATGGGAGGAGTTCACGTGCTCTTTTCTCTCTAACGGTGACGGAGACTTCCGGTACGTGCACCGTTCAGAATGGCTGCACAGTCCTTTCTAGATTCACCGGAGGAACTTCCTGCAGCAGGTCCATTCGCTATCTAGCTGCGGCTAGAGAATTTCACGAAGGATACTTGGAATCTTTAAAATGCCTTACAGAATCGCGTGAATGAGAAATTTCGTGCATCACGGCCGCCGTAGACTCGAGGGATCTCGTAAGACGCTCTTCCAATTCCATTGGACGACGTCCGGCGTCGGCGTCGGAATTCGGCACAATTTTTAGTCCCATGAGAAATCGCGAGAAGAGCACGCCTCCCACGAGGAGAGATATAGAAGAGAAAAGACTAAAAGATAAATGGAATTGGATGAGAGTGATAACTGATAAGAGATTACAATCCGTCTCGCTAGCGTTGAGGGAATCGATAGTGAAAATGTCGAATTTGCTTTCAGCACCGGCGAACTCGCAACCAGCTGGTACATCTTGCTGTCTGGCTCCGTCTTCATCGATGGATCCATGTTCCTTCCTCGATCAAGGTAAGAACGCATTCCCTTATCAGCACCATATCACATTTGATTTTTTGCACTTCCCTATAAATCATGTAAATTGACAGAGCCACTCCGCTCGAGCGATCTGGCCTTGCGCACTTAGATTTGACAAGCGTGCTCTCGCCCTCGACGTATTCGCAATACCCTTCCGATTGGATTCGTTCAATTTGCTGCACTTTCATTTGGCAGGGCTACGCCCTTATTTCGCGGGACTTTCCTTTGAATTTCCACTCTGGTCGCTCGGTCCTTATTGCGGATTCCCTGCCTACTTCCTGCTGAGGGTAACCGCGGTGTCGCAGATCCTGAATGGGGCAGACAGTTCGGCAATAAGTCGGAAAGGACAGGACGCAGTCTGCAAACGTTTTAGCGATAAAAGGTTCTTTCGTATAGGGATCAAAGAACGAAGGCCACCGAGATAAGTCTGAGCAGCGAATTTGTATGAAACTTTTGATGGGCCATTATGTTGGCATTATCCAGTGAATATGAAGTAAACAAAAGCGAATTCAAAGCAGAGTAAAATCAATGGTGATGGCGGTAGTACTGTAGATGGGGGG